AAGTAAAAACATGACAATGTTAAAATGGTGAGTCTACTGCTCAGATAATCTCCATTATAAAAAACACTGCATAAGATATTGTTGGTTGCACTAATTCACAGATGTGTCTAAGGAAGTAATCAAGTGGAATGACTTATGATACACATGGTATATACAGGCAGACCTCATGTGACGGAGCCCTGTCTAACGTTGTATGTTTACTTTAGATATAAAAAATATTAATTTCATAAATCTAATAGTACTGAACCATAAAAAAATCCATAAAACGTAAAAAACTAATGAACAGATCCGAAACTAACTTTATTTACACCCTTTACGTCAATCAACGCTCGTCTAATCAATGTGTACAGCCCGCCAAAACTCGCATCTCCTTATCTCCTGCATGTGTTAAGTGAATATTGTTGGCCCATCGTCTTTGGAAAAAGGCCTGAATTTGTGCAGCCAAGACAAGACGACCAGGAAAGTCATTCTGATATTATATGGGATAATCACCTTTCTCTGATAACTTTTGTAGTTGGAGAAACAAAAATTAGCATGTGAAATGCATTGGTAATAAAACTATCATAAATAGAACACGAACATGACGAACAAATTCTGTGACGAAAACTTCTCCTCGCCATGTGTTGCGTGGTGGAGGATGTCACTGAAATTTTTTAATCTTTTTCTTGTTCTCACCAAGATAGTATTTATGATACCAGAGCATTTCACATGTTAACTTTTGCTGTAGTGATCCTTTGGGAATCCGTCTGCCAATCAATCGGTTGCCTTGCTACAAAACTGACCCTAGACCTCTGTTGCAAGCTTGAAGCGAACAAACAACAGATATAGTGTTGGCATGTTATCCAGCAAGGAAACCTTGGTAGCTTATGAGTTCACTACCCAAAACACATTGCTCAATACACAGACTGTCTTGAATGACAAATGTGTTTTTTTTTAAAGAGCCAAGCGATGACATGTCCACTACTACTATAATATTAGCACAGTTTACTGCTGAGAGTTAATTAGGTAAATTTTGATCTGCATGTTGTTTATGTTAAAATCATCTTTGTTTTACCTACAAAAAGTCATAACATTTGCAGAGCCATTACCCAAGGAAGGATTTATAAAGTAAGAATTGACATTGGCAGGTATCCACCTCTATGGGCACTGTGTTATAATCATCTCTTTTAACCGATCAATCACTTTATGGACATTCCTGAGGAACATATCTTGTCTGCTTTAAGAGGACTGCCCGTAATTAGTAAAGAGCCTTCATCCAACTATCGGAAGGGAAGAGGAGACAACATTGCCCTTTTTAAATCAAGTTGCATATAAAAATGTCTCCATGTCAGTGCCATACACATGTTTTTGTTCATAATTTACCCAAATCACAGCTACATTTTTTTTTTTACAATTTGGTCGCACAGTTATCTTGGCGAGTCAAAAACAAATGGTTTTGACAGCAAATATCTGGAGGCTGGAGGTTGCATAGTGGCATGGTTTATGATATAACCCTAACACAAATCAAGCTCATGGCTGTAATGTTATGACAGCAGGTGAAATTAGCCCTAATACTAATAGGCCTCAACCAAATCATTAACATTTGAGCTTGAACCTAATGGTTAGGATAGCTTTGATTGGGGTGCACTAATACAGAATTTGGCTGGATAATTAAAAAATTATTAAATCCCCTAAGCTTCTGAGAGAATGTATTCTGAAAATGCATATAAAGAAAAATTATCTCAATTGTTGTCCAATGAAGATGAAATGTTGCTTTTCATCCATCATAACAGTCAAAAGTTTGTGTGAATACAGATTCAAAGACGAGGATGTTCCCACCTGTTTTGTATAGCAATGTAAACTAAGTAGGGCAATTTACACTCAACCTTCCTGCCGGGGCACAGGATGAAAATAAAATTATATACAGTGACCCCTCGTTTAATGAACACCTCGGTTAACGTAATTTCGATTAACGAACTGCCTTCCATAAGGATCTTCAATTCGGTTAACGAAAAAAAATTCGGTTAACGGAGTTCTTACGAACCGACCTCAACATGTTTTTGCTTGCACTGACCGGGCAACCAGCTTTAGTATCAGTCCGCCAATACATTAATCGGTTTTAGGGCTTAAATTCCTTACTATTTTAGTAAATATCAAGAAGTTTATACTATTCAATAATTTTAAAAGTTTAATATTCAATTTTTTAGTCATTTTAACAATTATTGAACATAATTGAAGGTAAAGTGACTAGTTTAATGGCGGCATCCAGCCTCTTAACACAGCAAACAGGAGTTAGTCTCTCTCTGTTTTCACTGGAGGTAACATCTTGCTTGAGACTCTCTTCAACTAAAGCTTTTTTTCTGTGTTTCCAAGCAAATTATTGGTCATTTTGAAATATATTTTACATATTGACAATATATAATGCAGTGCAGTGTTGATTTAAAGAAAATAATCTTGAATTACACCAAGAGCTAAAATTTTATGGGTGAAATGGTGCCATGGGGTGACTTCTCTTCCACCCCAATGCCTTCTCTTCTTCCTTCTCCTCCACCCCCATTCTAAATCCCATCATCATCATCATCATCCAGGAGCCTTCTACATACACACCTCAAAGTAAGTGAACTTTTCTACCATTTTTGTTGAATTTAGGAAATTTTCGGTGAGCTGGAACCAATTACCCAAAAACCCATTGAAACAATGGTTTCGGTTAACGAACTTTTCGGTTAACGAACGACCTTCTGGAACGGATTGAGTTCGTTAACGGAGGGGTCACTGTATATTGAAACAAGTAACCATTAACAAAAGTAAAGAACATATGCCAATTAAAAACAAGAAAATTAAAAATAAATTCCAGTACAGTACAGTATAGTAGTCTGGTTTACGAGGAAGGCCATTTACGCGGCACCCGTCAGAAGAGATCATTATTATTTACATGGTAAATTCCATCATGTACGCTGCAAGCAGCAGGGCGAGGTGCTGGGCACTGACGTCAGACTCGCGCCGGTGACGTCGCAGACTTTGATTGGGCCACGTATCCTTACCACCCACGCTCTCCGCCGCTGCGTCAGTCTCACTGTCTCCGCATATATTCACTTTTTACTACAATGTACAGTACTGTATTGTGTCGGCGATAGCCAAAAAAAGGTGAGTCTGGCGGTCGGCCCAGTCTCTATTTCAATTAATTTCATAGGTTCTGTTATTTTAGTTACGCGTTTCGCTTTATACGCGGACCTCCATGGGTTTAATTAACCGCGTAAAACCAGACATGTACGAAATATTCTGTGAAATTTCAAATAAACTTTTAATATAATGAAACAAGGAATGAAAGTCAAGTATCTTTGTTATGGCTTGACTGTGTGTTGAGAGTGTGGGGGAGGATGGGTGAGCAAGGGTTGTTCCAGACTGACTCACAGGGGAAGGGGAGGTGTGGTGTGGTTTGGAAGAATGAAGGGCCTCCCATAATGACAGCCCTAGGAAGAAATTCCATTCATATGATGATGCTCATCCTTGCCTAGAAATCACAGGATGATTCCCACCATCCTAGGGTTAATACAGATGCTCCTTTATTTGCAAATGTGTTACCTTCCTGAGACTTGTTCAGAAGCCTATTTGTTTGTAAGCCCAACTTTATTCTTGTAGATGCTGTGAAAAAGTGAATGTAGGTCACATAGGCATGACTGTCCATTAGGGACAGTGTGGATACATGTACAGCACACTAAGCCTTCGGTACACAAGGAGGCCAGTACTGCCCTTGACTGCACTCACTTCCCCAAGATGTAAACTTAGGTATCCATTTACAGCTAGGTGAAATGAGAGTACCCAGGAATTGAACCAACAACCCCTGGAACAGGAGGCAAGTGCTGTATCCACTTGACCGCCGTGCTCTGTAGATACTGTACAGAGATATTTAATGTATAAATAGGTTAGATTAATTTTGTGGACAATACAGTTGTATAGCACTCAAAGTTCAAACAGTCAATTGGACTATGGACAGGTTTATTTGTACCTCTAAAAGTTTGTAAGCTGAATGTTGAAAAGTAAAGGAGCATCTGTATCTCACTAACTGGTTGGATAGGTGAAGTATCCAACTGGATATGTACCAGATAACTGACAAAACCCATTTGGACACCTTATCTGGTGCACCCCTAACATGAACCCACTGTAAGAGTCACACACTACTAACATATCTTAATGTCACTCATACAATACACTTTTTTCCAGATGGATGTTTAAACAAATTTTTATAAAGTTTATCTCATATAAAGCATATACGTACTGTACATAACCATCTTGTGCATTAAAAAACTGAACAGTTCATGAAAATATACTACTATACTTTACTACATATACAAACACAGTACACCAATACCTACAGTATATATAAGGCGTTCAGATGGATAACGACAAATCGACTAACCATTGATATACAAGTACAAGTTGCCACACATTGCCGGAGTATTAGGCTTTCAGATGCAGGAGGTTAGGAATGTATATTTGTCATACAAGTATGGGTGTATATGCCTAGAAATACACAGGAATTTCAGCCTTATGTTTACCCGGTAACTTGGGGGCAAGAGAAGAGGGTCACATGGCACGGCCCGTCAATGATGAGTGCACCTTTTAGCGCAACCAATCAGGAGGACGGGATACTGTGACATAAGTGTTGTGGATTTCAGATGCCAATCAACATGGGGATGTGTTGCCAGGGGTACCCCAGTTCCTGTGCCACCATTTTTTGAGACTTTTTTTTTTTTTTTACCCATTTATGATCATTATTGTGTTCGGTATGGTGAGTGTTGCACTAAATAACATTACAGATTTTTTAAGTACCATATTACATGTTTTTAACATTATTATAGAAATCCTAACTTGACATGCTTACATAAAATGGAATTTTGGGGTACTTAAACTTAAATGATGTGAATACTCTATTTCCTGTACCACCATAAAATATTATACTGCAGCTGGTCAAATGACATCTAAATAATAAAAATCATATGGATGGTTACTGAAATACGATAAAAGAAATAATTTAATTAAATTTTTTTAACTAAATTATCTTGAGTAGTGGTTTTGGTTGATTCGACATTATTCACCCGAGCGCCTCACACATACTTTTACGTACTGTAGATGTGCTATTATTTATTACATCTAATATTTGATATTGATGTGTTTTCCAACTGTAAAGTCAAAGGATAAAATGCCCTATAATAAACAAGAAAGCTTGAGAGGATATTATATATAAAAAATGTGAAGGATATTGGTTGAGTGGGGCTGATGATAAAAACAATACTGTATTTGTTATAGTATTATGACTACTGTACTAAGCAGGTCATAACATGTATCATGTTGCCCACAGTACATTTATCTAGAGCAGTACAGTATTTTACATGTTTCCATTTTTTTACTTGTGGGTGAAGGACTCAGACCTCTATATTCAGATAATTCTTCGTGATACTTTACAAGCTACCGTCATCTCCATTTCCTCAACCATATTTCACTTTCTATCTTTTAATTTTGGGGAGTAACAGTTCTTCTAAATTTATAAAAGTCATAAAATTAAATAACAATGTAATACTTAAGTTAAAATGTTTTTGTTTTTTTAAATCACATTCTTTGTTACTGATCCTAGTTATCTAAAATTGTTGCTTTAATTTTGGCCTCAGGATTCCGGATGTCGTCAAGACTCTGTACCATTTTAAGCTCCAGATGCTTCACTGTTAGGGAAGAGTCTGGTCCTGCCTCACTCCTGGCCATGTCTAGAGTGCGGTGAAGAATGGTTTGCATGGTGTTGAGGGTATTCTCCACAGCTTTCTGTGCCAGAAAAGTGTCAACATATAAGTGATAAAGAAACTCAAAAGAACAATGCAAATCAGTTAATCACATGAAGCAATGCCAGCATCCATGAGACCATTAACCCCTTTATTATCATGATGTCCTAACACCATAAATATCCACATAGAACTAAGCTATTATACGTGAAACCTTTAAATTGTGTAATCTAGCTCACAGCTGTCAGTGGATAATATTAACACAATCTATGATATTCAAGAATGCCTCTGTAGTGATATTTGGAATTCATCCCCAATTAATGAAACAGTGTCCCCTCCACACCTTCCATGATTGGTGTTCAGTTTGGAGCAGAGGGTCAGAGGAGATAACTAGGGCCTCAGGACTAACAACCCTTGAGACAATACATAATAGGGCAGATCTCATTTTAACATCCAAAATCCTGAAAGTGATGAAAAACATGGACTTGGGACATATCTTTGTGATGTCACGCACCACCAACACGAAAGGACATAACTACAAGTTCACCAAATTATCATGCAGAATTAATATAAGGAAGTACTTTTTCACACAGGCTGGTATACTTCTGGAACAGTCTATCAGCCCAAGCTGTGGAATCAAGAACAGTACTGGGCTTCAAAATAGTCCTTGACAAAATTATCAGGAACAATGGAGGGATCCCACACAGGCCACTGGCCTCCTTCCCTTGGCATGGTCCCCTCTAGTAGGTGGCCATCAGGTAAATAAGATAAAAAGGTAAAATGCAAGTATGATACTTAATAGTTTCCTCTTAATCATTCTTATATTCTATGTGACCAAAGTATTTAAGTACAATACATCAAAATCAATAATCATTTGATGACTTTATGGCTACAGTACAGTACTTAATTTTTAAAATTCTGATGCATGTTTTTTTCTAAACTTACCGGTAAGTTTGGCACTTTCCTTACTGTTGCCCGGAATGCCTCATATTTCTTTTAGCCATTTTATTCCCCAGAAACATACCTTAAGGTTGTTGTGTGTGTGATGCATCCATCCTAACAACAGAGCAGCAAACAGATCACCAGTGCCTGTGAAATTGGCTGGGAGACGTGGAATGTGTACTTGAAGTCTGGTTTTGCTCCTATCTGAAAATATGCACAATTTGATGTGAAAAATATTCATACGATATATGACAAACATCTGGTAAAGAAGTTAAAGAAAATGAATGACTAACGTGGGAAAAATTAAGTTACTTTTGATCCTATCCACCCTGCACAACAGTGAGAAACGACTGCAAGAATGAAAAGGATAAGAAAAATGACAAAAACTGTCATCCTATACACATAAGTTTCTTTTACTACAACATCAAATAAATTAACATAAAAAATTGAGAACACCTTAAAATACCCCAAAATTCTCACAGTATATTCATTCATCATTATTTTTCCTTTGTCTTTTCAAAGTTTTCTCATACTGTACTTGTACCACTATCCTTTGTTTGGAAACTTGTATAAAGTACTCCCCTGCTTTAAAAAGAGTTCATTATAAATGGGTTTGAAGTTAAACAATTGATTTAACACTAAAAATTTTCAATAAATGATGTGGTTCAGAGTTAAAATGATTTAGTGAGCACAAGGCGAGCCTAATTTTAACAAATTCTAAATTGCATACATCAAAAAAATATATATATATTACTATGATAAACATTAAAATTTACACATTGCACATATTTCATGTACAAAAAAAAATATTTCCTTCCACATGCAAACCATCCTCTGGGCGACATGACAAGAGTTCAGCCAGGCAGTCACCCAGTTGACTCAGACACACGTCACTGCTGCCACGCTGCGCTGTGTGTATGCCATAATGTCACATTGGGGGAGACAGGGTGGCTAGGCTAGCGATGCAGTTACAGCCCATTGCCTCCACATACACACCCATGATCTTCATTTTTCTTATTTTATAGTTTTATACTGCATTATATGTTCTTTATTTCCAAGTCACATTACACGTAACAATGGCGACATGTGTAGCCATCTCACAAGCCACCATATCTATGTGTGCTATGTCAGTTTGTGAAAAAACAATTCAGTATTGGGTCTTGAGACAGGGTCTAGAACCTATCCCTGTTTGTACCATGTTAAAAGAGGTTCACTTTGAATTTCCTTTTCTAGGAACACATCTCGCATTTAAAGTAAGGGAGTACTGTACTGTCTTTCCATTTTTCCCCATTTGTATACCCTTATTAAGTATCATTTCTTAGTGAGACCTAGTAATTGCTTTTCCTGACAGACAAATCATCATACAGTAATGTGAAGCATTGGTGTTGGATTCTCAAAAAGGGAGAGGATAATTCATTGATGTACCAAATGTATGAAATATTTTTCAAATAATAGTTATACTGTACTCTGAATGTGGAAGCATATACAATTGCAGGTATTATTTTTTTCAAAGTATATACAGTAATACAGGTACTCACAAAAATTTGTCAGCATGATAGTTATTAACTAATGAATGACGGAAGTGAGCTTTCACATTACAAGACAGGTACTTACTGTTCATAGATGAAGCCATTCCCACTAATTTATTCTCTGAGCCAAGTTCAGTACTGGAAAGGACAACTGTTTTCACTCCTTGATGGTGAAACCATTCCATCACTTCCGCTGCATCACCTTCATTCCTTATTTTTTTGCCACTCAGTAATCTGTGAATAAGAAGTGTTAAACAATGGGAAATGTTCAGCTAAAACACCAAAAATCATTTATAAGTAGTACTGTATAATCACTCATGTGTTCAGTCAGATCATAAATTAGTTTTACCCTTTGATGCGATTGATTTCAAACTGAACACTACCTCTCCTGTCGTCTCAATAGGGTTGGTAAACGTGATTGTGACGTCATTTCCCTTATCATATTTTGAAGCACAGGATTACACAGAAAATGAAATTGCATTGTGACAAGTGACAGTAATAATGTCACTGGCAGCTCCATATATCCCCATACAAAGAAAGAAAGGCTACCAATGTGAAGCCAGATGTGCGAGCTTTGTACAATATTTTTCGCTGGCTTGTTATATTGTTCAACATCAAAGGGGAAAAGTAATCTATGGTCTGACTCCACATACAAAGGAAGTTCAAGTCATTCCTAGACTATTATTCATAAAGTCAGTTACAAAAAGGGGGCATCAAACCTACTTTGTTTACCCACATGAACTCCATGCCCAGCATACATTTCTTTCCATCAATGAACTAACACCTCTGCTTGACCCATTTCAGATCATAGGTCTTCACATCATCAGTAGACTAAAATGCTGTTTACTAAGTGTTCATTCATTATCCCCAAAAAGATGGTAGTTGTTAGGATCCACATCTGGATTGTAATGTGAGTATGGGTCAACCTCCCAACCAGCCTCCTAAAATTCATCCATAGTACTGATATATGGCTGATGAAATAGATGTGTAGCCAAAGGCTTAAAACTGTGCTTGTATTACCAACCCCCCCCCTCCCACCCTTTAACACCATAGTTAAACTACAAAGTGCATGCTAGGAGGTTTCCCCCATGCACACTACAGCATGGATCCGATATCTATCAAATTCTATCTGTTCAGACTACTGATGGAACACCTTGGGGGATGGGGATTTGTGTACGATGAAGTGAAGATACATATTCTGAAATGAGTCACCCAAAGAAACAAATCATTCTACACTTCAGGCAACCATTAAATGCCTACAGTATATCATATTGGTCTTATCGGTAAAGACAACTAAATAAAAACAACTTACTCAGCTTCATATTGGTTTGGTGTGATAATGTCTGCAAGAGGCACAATGTGTTCCCTGTAGACTGGTAGCAGTTCTTCTGGTACATACATTTTCCCATGATCTCCCATCACTGGATCACACACTGATGAAGTTAAAAATTAATAAAATGAAGGCAATTTTATACATACCAGGAATATATAAAGTTTACTTACATATATATACTGCAGTTCTACCTGGGGGTAAACTGTTACAGCATCCACCAATATCTCATCAATTATTCTTGAAACTCAAGGGCATCTTATACTTCTTTACCAAAAACGTATTTTGACTACATTCATTTTATCTGAACATTTAAAAACACTTTTGGTCTTGCCTGAACCTCATACAATAGTTAAAGGCATATGAAATTTACATGCAAACTTTCTGTACCATTAACATGCAAGTCTAGTTTTCTAAATGCATAAATTCAGGTATACAGTATACTGTACTGTACAAATCCTTTCCACATGCATTTGTTCAGGACAAGTGTGCCTGACGAAATACTGTGCACAAGTACCTGTACTAAGATATTTCATACTGTACCTGCCCTTTTACAGCACTATCCAAATAACAGAAGATAGATCACCTGGACTATAAAAGATATTATACAAGTAATAAAGCTGTGAAAACACACTTTACTGAAATAAACTCTTTGGAAATGTGCACATCTGGAACTAGAGGAGCACCACACAAGGTGTCAATACTTTCAAGTTAGCCCGACTACATACTGAGGCAGACTAGCACCAGCACCGGAAAGATGCTACCACTGCCCCTCCCGCACCAGATGTACCCCTCCACACGTGCAACACCTGCGAACAGCCCTGCCGGTCCCATAATGGCCTCTCAAGCCACCTCAGAGCTCAACAACAAAGTTGACATCACTTAAAATGCCCCAACCATCGTACTGTGCAAACTCCAAACCCTCTTAAGCCAGACAAAAACATATTAATTTTACTACAGGTGAAAATAAAGCATCTGAGATTCATGTACTGTATGTTGAAGCCCACTGCAACAAACTATTCCCCCACACTGATGAAGAATGTTTATATCAGTTATAACTTAAGACTGTTCCCTGGCCCTCACACTACAGACTCATCACATGACAAATTTGATCACACAGCTTCTGCTCTACCATATATCAAGTTGGGGTTGACTGTCTTGAGGTGTTCCACAACGCTCTTCACTTTGCGAAGGAAGGATCTGGAGCCAATGTACCCAGTTAAAAGATGTGAATAATGGTCGATACCATTGGTCTTCAACCCATCTACCAGATCATCTGTAGAAATACAGAAAAAATGTTCAATACAGGAAAAATTATTAGTTCATGGGTTAATATTACCAGGTACAGTACAGGATAATATTTTTGGTATTTCATGTTAACTATGTGTAATCATCTTGCTCTGCCTGCCATCACCAATCTTTGTCACCCATGATGACAACTTACAGCAAATGATTTAAGATTCACTTTTCATAATTGGTTTACTATTTAAGATGACCTATGGTTTGGGGGAATTTTTTTAGCTTCAAATTATTTACTTATCATTGTTTCATTTAAAGTATCACTTTCCTGGAAGTATCTATAATAATAAGTGGGGCTCCCTAAACTGTACAGTAACTATATACTGTAGTACAGTACTGTACATGAATGAAAGTTAGAAATATAAGAGCAGGAAATTTCAAAAAAGAAAAGTACTCTATAGGGAATAATCAACCATTTAAAAATACAGTACTGTACAGAGTACTGTATATCTACAGTACAGTACATACAGTAATCACAAAAAACAATAACCCTACAAACCACTCAATTACTATACCACACTCAACATCATACATCACCTAACTTTAAAACATTCACCTATGACTACAGCATCCATAAGACTATGAGGTAACACACACTCCTGAACATATCTTAGCATGCTTATGAGTTAGGTAAGAAAGTAATGTTGAGCAGAACAGTATACTGTAGTACTGAATACATTTGTAAAAAAAAAACAAAAAACAATTTGGACAGTGTAATGTACTGTCATTTTTTTCCAACCCTTATTGTACAGGAGTGTAGCAGTAGATGAGGCTTAAGTGACTCTTCTGCATGATCTTACTGGATATGTTGGCAATAAATTAGTAAATAACTACTAAGAGCAATTTCTTAGCTCAGTGAAGTCATAGTACAGTATTGTACCACTAAAATGACTTGAGTCATGACTATTTCCACAAAACAAATTTTCTCTGGTATTGCTCACCCAACTGAGTGTCATCCAAAACTTGCCCCGTGAAGTTCTTGTAGCCGGTGTGGTTAGAGAATTGGACTGAGTTGATGGTATCTACTTCAAAGCCTAGAACCTGTTGAAAACATTCACCAAATCAGATAACAGAGCAATGAGCTCAAACTGGTGATTCAGCATGATGAAAAAAAGATAAAGTGGGTCCCATTACAGACTGTGTGGATACAGCACACTGTACTGTATACTAAGCCTTCGGTATACAAGGAGACAGCAAGGTCGGCACTGCACTAAAATGCCTTCATTTCTTCAACTTGTACACTTAAGTACCTTTTTATAGCTGGGTGGACTGGGAGTGCCCAGGAATCAAACCATTGACCATTAGGTGAGTTTTGTATCCACTCAATTCTCTATATTAAAAGTACATGAAATGAAATTACTGATTCAGCATCTCTTGGTAATTTCTTCTCACACTTTTACTAGTGACAAACAGTGCAGAGATCTAAATACTGCATAGTACTGTAAACTTAAGATTTATAATTGAAGAATATTTATAAAAAACTAGATTTGTAAGGGATGTCAGCAGTATAGAAGTGGTATTCTTGCCTTTCACCATTGTGACCTGGGTTTGATTAAGGTTAAGGTACAGTATTGTCAAGCGTAAACCAGCAAAAATCAAAGATTTACTCCGGGTAATCTAGTTTCCATCTGTAGTGACACTGAACCCAAGAGTAAAGGAAGATTTAAAAAAACCCACCAGCTTTGTTCCCTTGACAAAACAATGCTCATGATCTCAGTCTTCTTGGTTGAGTCAGATCAGGTTACTCTGAGTTACATTATGAAGATACGGAGACATGAGTTCAAGATTTGGTTAGACTGTATAAGGTTGACACAAACCTGAAGTGGAAAGCAGGCACTCTTGTTTCCAACATAACCCGACACAACGTGACTCTGGATGGACAGAACCCGCACATTTGCACCAGCCATTTTTATTCCCTAAAAAAGAAAAAATCTGACATTACATACACAACATTTATTTATTTTCTTATAAACTTCTTGCACTTTGGCAACAAATGGCAAGAAAATGTTCTCTGGGCTACACCCTGCAAAAGTGCCCCCCTCCCTCAAAAAAAATACTGTAATAAAAATCAAAGTTCATAAATAGCTTGAACTTTAGCAAATTGGAAGTACAGTACATATATGAAATTAACTGTTTATAGGAAACTAGGGGTTAGGTTCATATAACTAAAAAATATACACATCTCTTCACTAAAATAACTACAATTTTTACAACAATTTTAATGCTTTTCAAGGTAAGAAAACATTTGCACCTGATACTGTATGATAAAACCCTAATACTCTACTGTACAGTATTGTATGCATAGTTGCCTCCATTTATAACAGGTATATACTGTACAGTGGCTAGCATGTTTTGTGAAATGTGGCACCACTGCCCACCAGAGAACAGAACGGAGCCATTGATGTTCTACTGTGCTTGATAATCAATATTAAAACTATAACCATGCAGGAAATGCAAGCCTTCACAGATAGAGGAGGGACTACTTATTTAGCATTCTTAGTCTGGTAACTACACTGTAAATAAACAGTGGTGCTACATCTCACAAAACACGCCAAGCCACTATTCCCATCATAAATGGAAGCAACTGTACTAATTCATGTACAATACATTTTCATTCTTCCTCACATACAAGCATCAGTAAAACCATAAACTTGGACAAAGGTAGGCAGTAGTGGTCTTGAGAAGGTGAACAACATATTAACTTTCTTTAGCACATTCAAGAAAATATGCCTCTCATGCCTACTGGGATATCAGAGTCATTTTTGGCCAAAAGGAAACAAAAGTAGAGCATATGATGGACAACACTCATTATACAGAGGCAGTAACTGAGGTAGATTAAAGTGTGTAGTTCATGAAATGCATTTGAGTAAAAGTCTATGAGGTCATTATATGTTAGTGAAAAATTAATCAAAATTAACTTATTAGAGTGTCACAGTCATTAAGCAAAATATCAAGAGATTAAACTCTAAAATAATGAGATATTGAGGCAACAGATCCCATTTTTTCTTTTTATCATTTCACCACTTATCAATTTACTAGCCATCCGTACGATTGGTCTATCCAGTGTTAGTACAGGAGGAAACCAGACTCCAGGAAACCTGTGATGTTTGGAAGTGAGGGTCACACTGGATAACACCCTTCATACGTGTGTCTAGGCCAAACAGGGCTCGAACCCTTGACATATTGATGACAGATACAAGTGTTACCACTCTACCCCCCAAAAAATTTGCACCCTCATTTGCAAGAACTTTACCTTCACTACACCAGTCATACTCCACCATTAGTACTGCACTGGGCGGGCACTCCCAAATAGCAGACAATGTGAACCAAAACATGATCACCACGGGAGATCCGACAGTGCCATAATTATGGTAAATATTGTATTTCTTCACCTACAAAGGATGTAGACGTAAAATTACTACCCTATGATCAGAGTTCACAGTGTTTTAACCCCGTTATTTCCCTCTTCTTTCACGCCCTGCCCACTAAAAAGTAATTTATGATCAAAGGATAGGCTAAAAAGAAAAAAAATACTGTAATGTTATCGCTTCAATTTTATTACTAGGTATCATCCAAACAACATCTCCTGAAAATTTAGTGTCATTTCATAAAGTCCTTCTGGTACTAACGGTCTCCTCCACTTTTATCCAATTTCATAAATTACTTTGGGTGCTAACTGTCTCCTTCAACATTACCTCAATAGTTTAGACAATTATAAGACACTTTTTTCCATGATGTTTCCCTAGCAAAGGACCTATTATATGCTGGTGGGATCCAGTGAGGTGGGGTCCAGTGGGGCGGAGTCCCCCGGTTAAGAAGTTTGGTTAGGTAGTTTGTGAGGGAAATGTCTTAGAAGAAAAGTGGGTAATTATTCGGGACGTGACAGTCCGCCGTTTTTCATTAAAAATGGTTTAAAAATACCTAATTTTTGCTGCTTTTATTAAGGGATTCTGCATTATGTTGTGGAAAAATATAAAAATGGCTGAAATCAAGTGCTAACCTAACCTAAGAACATAAGAATGGAGGAAACTGCAGCGGGCCTGTTGGCCCATACTGGGCAGTCCCGTTTACACCCAACCCCTACACTGGAAAGTGGGCCAGCCACTCAATATACACACTTTTCCACAGTCAGGACAAACTCTAGAGGTAGGTAGGATACCGTGACACCTAAATAATTTCAACATATGGTCCTCTTTACCTCTAAATTCAGACACAGTATCCAAAAAGTGAGAACACCCTCTGTCATGACTAGGAGTGGTGTGCTGTGCATACTCGAATGTGATTGGCTGTCACTGTTTACTTTTGCCACATCACAGCTGATGACGCGACTGTAAGTAATGCTATTTTAACTCGCTTATATTGCATCTGGAAAACTAACGTAAGCATTTACACAAGAAAATAATAGAACTGAAAGTAATCGGAGTACAAAACTGTCTAAAAACACCCCCCATAATTACCAAACTGCTGATGGCCGTCCTGTATATTAGCCAAAGTGTCTTAGATGTCTAAACTTTTGATTGCAACCATAAAATTCTCAAATTTTTTTGGATGGTAACATGTGAAAGTTCACCAAATTGGGATCGTCTGATACTGTAAACATGTTAAATTAATGTGCACTTGTATACAATATAACGATTTTACTGTATGTTATCTTTTTAACCTATCCTAGTTCACCCGCTGCCATTTTCAATAACTTTGGATTACAGTATATCAGGGTCATTTGTGTTTACAAAACAGCATACTGAATATAGTATATATTTTTTTTTACTTTTACCCTCTTCACTGATCGGCTCGCTAGCCGCCCGGGCGATCGGTCACGTCTCTGTTACACACTGTTGGCAAGTACTGGGCATGCACCGGCTCCTGAATGTATCTGATCCCGTTCCAGTGTTGGTCAAGTCTTGTCTTGAAAGAGCTCACACTCTGTGCCGTCACAACACTCTCTGGTAGATTGTTCCAAGAGTTCACAAGTCTCACTCCGAAAAAGTTTGCCCTCACAGATTTCTGGGCTTGCGGCTTCTTCAACCTTGAGCTGTGACCCCTTGTGGGGCGAGCGTCAACCAGCTCCAGATAAGGGCAATCGACTGAGTAGTGCCCTTTGAGACGCTTATTCACCTCAATTAAGTCTCCCATTGTCCGTCTGTAGTATAAAGGATAACTTTTCTCACAACAATTTAAATTATATACCTGCATTTTGATGATATTGCTCCAAGAATGTTGATAAATTTGTAACTCAACGCAGATTTTTATATAAAGAACAGTTAAGCCAACAATGTCACGGTGAGCGTGTGGGTTTACTAGGCCACTGTTGTTGTAGGAGGAGGTAGTCAGCTGTTTCTGTTGCGTCAGCTGATCAATGCCCGGTATATTTTATTTATTTTCAAAACGAATATCTACAACCCTCCTTTAATCAGTCAAATGTAGCTTAAATTGTGAAAATTAATATTTTCCACTCTGAAAGAATGCCCTAATTCCTATAGAGGCATTAAATAAAAAAATGAATTTAGCTATTGAGGGCGATGACACTGTTGCGCCCCTAATCCCTGTGAATAATGGATCTGCCTCTTCACCACTGATCGGCTCGTTAGCCGCTTGCGCTATCGGTCACGTCCCTGTTACGCACTGATCACCAATCTCGACTACCTTCAACTTTTCATGTACACCAGTGAGAAATATATAGGTGGCTACTCTGATTGTTACAGCAATTTCAATCCTTGTTTTGTGCATTTTATTCACTTACTGGTGCAACAGCAACTGATCGATATCAGATTAAAATGGTAGCTCCTTGTGGCCGTGGTCACCTCGGTACAAGATGTAAAGGGGTGCCCAATAAACTAGCCCCTGCGCGGGATTAAATCTGGGTGTTACTATAGCTTGCGGTCTACAAGATATTTAATTTAGGTTAGGTTACGTCAGGTTAGATTAGACCTAATATATCTTTGTAGACCACACGCTATAGTACTAGCACCCGAATCTGAATGATCTAACCTTGACGTGAATTAGTTCGAAGAGTAGAAACTGACGTCAACACATCTACACCGAGTTAATGAGTTGTATTGTGGGGTAAAGGATGTTTGGTTCACACTCAGGATGGGATGGAGAAAGGAAACTCACAATGTGCTCTCTGTATACATAATGTATTGGATGTACAATGCAGCTTGGTGCTGGGAAGGCAGCATGGTTACAAGCGTTGAGTAGAGAGAGCTTTTTGGTGAGGGTGCTCAGAGGAGGACCAGCTTGTGAGTCGCCATGCTCGCCGGCGGGAGCGGAGGAGGTGGAGGTGTTGCTTGCTGGTGGCTGTGGGTAGTAAGAGGTAGGTCACCACGAGGTCAGGTCTTATATAGCGGAGGTAGGCGTGGCTTACTAGTTGACCTCAGTCGTGTAAGATAGCGCTGGTTGCTGATCTAGACCACGAGGGCAGGCTGGTGAAATCGTGAGGTTGGCTAGGCAGCGACAAACAGAGTTTGTTGGGGAGGAATCCACTACAGTATAACCCAACGTCAACTTGGCAAAGAATAACCCAAGGAGTAGACAAGTAACTCGTCAACTGCACTGGCTAACCATTACCCCGGAGCGTTTATTGGTTTCCAGTTACTTCAGGGTAAACATTCTTTGGCAGTCACTTACCCTACCCGGGGATGATGATCGAACCTTTTCTCGATAACCAACGCATTCGTTCATCTAAGTTACCAATCTTACGCCCTTAAAAGACTTCTTCAACCGGAATGTATTTCGGTTTCTGCTCTTGATTTGGTAAATTTATCATAGAGGTTTACATTTAGATAGGCATGTATTTAAACTATACAGTTCAGCATAGACAATGTCGGTATAGACAGTGCACGTAGGCCCAAACCGGTAACGAACGAATCAGTGGCGAAGAGGATGAGTTAAAAAAAAATTCGAAAGAGGACGTGGCATGTGATACCCTCCCTACCCTTACAAAGCTCCTCAAAACCGAAGTGCTTTTTCCGTTTGGGGTACTGTCACCCCGCCTGGTCCCCGCGATATGTTAGACTGTCAGTTAATTGAAAATGTCCAGAGTAAAGTCACTGCTCCAGTCCAATGTTGGTCAAGAAAGAGCTCACATTCGGTGCTGTCAGGTCAAAATTCTCACTCCCAAAAAGTTTGCCGTCACAGTTTTATGGACTTGTGGCTTCTTAAACTTTAGCTTCGTCTTTAAGAAGCCACAAGTTCAGAAAATTGTCAAGTCAAACTTTTTTGGAGTAAGAAATATGAACTCTTGTAACACTGCCAGAGAGCGTTGTAACGGCACTGAGTGTGAGGTCATTCAAGACCGTGACGAAGAGAGTGAAGTACAATGCATTCATTCTCCTCTCCAGAGCGGCATCTGTCAAAATATGACTTAGTGGTAATAATAGGAAGTTATTTAATTCTAATATTAATGCAGTAAACTATGAAAATCCAGCCGTTCCTGTTTTGTAAAAAAAAAAAAAAAATAATCATAGCTCTCAGTTTATAAACCAACTTTCAGTGCTATCTGACTTAAAATGCAGTACATTGGAAATATCAGATAAAGTTCGTACTGTATTCATGGTGACTAAGGTAAACTGAAGGATAAATTGCGTCTTGAGTAGGTGGTGTCATGACAAATATTGATCACCATCTTGGCTACTCATGTCGTTCTACTTGTACAGTATTCTGCATATTAGGTCGACAGTGATAAAATAATATCTGATTTGGTATGCATGTAAGCATACAGATATATTAATATACATCTGACGGGATGGTGATAATCCATACTGCTGGAATAAGGATAAATTTATGACGAAAAGCCTGTTAACTTTGATTAAACTACGGTATTCGGACAGTGGTGAGTGGCGGCTTCACGGTAGTGTAAGGAGCTAACTTAAAGCTTCGAATTTTTTGCAACTGTGAGGCATCCCTAGGAGGTAACTGATATATGGAAGGACATTGAGGTATTTATCAATGCGGATTCTCGTTGAATTAAGGATAATTAGTGATGTATATTATCTATATTCTGTTTAAAATTACGTTAAAGTGAACCCCTGAGAAGTAGTTGTCGATTGTTGCATTGTTTACACACAGTTGGAAACTTTCCCAACTTAGGATAAGTAGAGGACCAACTTGGAAGCGGTCTATTTTACATGAAGCTTGAGGGTTGTTAAAGAGCTAGAGGCATTATAACCATTCCCTTTTGTGATGATTAAATAAGTTGTATGGTGTGAGACGGACATACTACATAGATCACTAAATAAGGTAAGGTTAAGTGGTGGACGTGTACTCAATCGTGGTATACACAGTTGAGTGGATGACACCACCCACTGGAGTATACTACTACAGTATTTACATCAAAATGGCTGGTGAGGAGTTAAGTAAAGGGTAGAATATTCATCTTGAGAAGATTTAATATTAATATTGGACGGCATTTGTACAGGTAAACCTCTTATTTTTCACAAATATTGTATCGAAGATAACTTCTTTATCTGGAGAAAATTCCAAAATAAGGGCGAGGAATTGCACTATTACCCTGTACCCTGTATTTATATATTTTGGTAAAGGTGGAGCAGATGGCTCTGACAAAGTTTTGCATGAGCTAAACAGTAATTATTGCTTAAGCTGTAAAATTTATTGATTTTAATTTTGTATATCCCTTGTCATCTATTATTGTATGTTACCTTTCAACTATTAATGCTATTTTGTACATGTAAATGAATGTCACAAGCATGACAAATTATAGGAAATAAAAACTTAACTAAAATTTTACCAGTATTTACCAATATGCTAGGGACTCTCAGTTAATTGAAAATGTCCCATGGTGGTGTATAAGCATCTCAAAGGGCACTACTCAGTCAAGTGCCCGTATCTGGAGCTGGCGGACGCTCGCCCCACAAGAGGTTACAGCTCAAGGTTGAAGAAGCCACAAGCCCAGAAAACTGTGAGGGTTAACTTTCAGAGTGAGAGTTGTGAACTCTTGGAACAATCTGCCATAGAGTGTTGTGACAGCACCGTGTGTGAGCTCTTTCAAGATCAGACTTGACAAGTACTGGAACAGGTTCAGATACATTCAGGAGCCAGTGCATGCCCAGTACTTTCCAATCCAATGAGCCGGTAACTGCTGGTCCAGCCACTGGCACATGCGGATACCATAATGGGGTGGCGCCCCATCTTGCTGAAATGTAATGGTGGCCACATTGAGCATATTTTGTGACTTACAAGTGATTGTATAATAAAGTGATCATTTTGCCTATGTATGGAGACTTTTGACTCGCCCTATAGAGTTCCATGCATGGCAACTATCAAATATTAGCCAAGGTAATAATAGGTAATAGGTAAAATTGAGGAGGAGGACTTTTACCTTTTGCTTTTAATATTGCTACTGTTGAGCTTCTTAGAATGTTATCAGTAATCACATCACATAATTTTCTTCATAAAGATTAATGAATCTCAAGCCTTGACTAAACAGTAAATTTTCTTTTCACTTAAAATAAAGAGTTTTTTGTTTATTGAAGCATTTTTATTAACAGATTGGAATATATAAGACCTACACTAGAACAACCTTACCATGCTGGAGGAGAGGCCCAATATCCGCCGACGTGTTGGATCTGCACGTTCAGGATTGTCAAGAGTTGGATCAGCCCGGCCAAGTAGTGGTCGAGTCAGTTCTGCAAGGCCTTCCTCTGACACTCGCCGTCCCAAATTGCACACTGGTCGGCCATCTTCAGCACCAGCTCCTAGTAGGCCTTCCTCTGCCCCTCCTCCAGGACGGACTGGGCCCTACCCAGTCAACAGGACTTGTGTTGGGTCTAGCTCTATCAAGTCTCATGATGTATCACACTTGAACCTAAAGGTGGAAGGGAAGTCGGTGAGCTTGGAAACTTTATTTTTAGAAACGGGTTTTATACTTAAAAATTTGAAGTTACATAGAGAAAAAAATCAAAATTGTAATTTTAATAGTTTTTGGATATGCATAAAATTACAACAAGAATGTTGGCATTGTTTTTCATCTTAAATGACTTTTTTTCACCTTTTTATGGCTTATACAGTACTATATCCTTTTCAAAGTGCTGGTCATGTACTGGTATTATTTGTAGGATTTGCAAGTGCCCCCCTAGCTGACAAGGCAGGGTTGCTACTCACCTACAAATTGAATAGTTTTTCAAATATAAAACTGCATATCAACACTAAGCATTTGAGTGTCCTTGTTTGAGTGGCATAGAATAAAAATTTATAATGTATATATACAATTATGCTTTCATTAGACTATAATTTATTAGTTTCATTTGACTGTATCCTGTACTCAGATACTTATTATCTTGAAATTTTATGTTATGTAATAGTCTGCTGTATACTTGGGATTTGCTCCTGAAAATAAATTAGGTTTGATGTATGCATTTACAGTATTGATCCATTGAGCACATTAGTTTTCATATTTTTTAGAATTTTTACAGTGCTTTATTTTTATATCCACAGCATAATGCACCTTTCAGTTAGTAAGAAAACACTATGTGTGTGTGACATCAGCATGGCCTTTGTTTACTTTGACTGCACTCTTTATTACTTGTACCTGTAATAGCTCTCCCTGTAAAGCTTAACCATTTTGGATAATCATAATGTTTCAACTGTTTTAATAGCAAATCAGGTAAAATTAAATAACCAATTAAAAAGAATATTTCAGGCCTACCTTTTAATGAGGTTTCCAAAGGCCATCTCTCATTTTTTATTGTTGTGTCTCTTCATATTTTTTGTACTGTGGCACAGAGTGTATACTGTACCTTGAAAGATACTCGACTTGGGCTCAATTTCTGGCTGGATTAAACTGGGTTCCCTTGTACACTATGCCTTGTATTGTTCATATTGTACAGTACTTTCCAATAAAATGAGTCCATTATTGTGTAGACTTTTCAGTGGTGGAGCAATTCTTTGGTTAAGTAGCATCCAGCTAAATGGGTGGTAACCCTCTAGATCCTGGATGTTAAAAAACAGAGATGTGTTACTGCTTGTTTGTTCTCCCTCCATCACAGCAAGAAAAGGCTGCCAGAAGAATAATTCTTAAGAGATTCATTTTCAGGTAAAAATGTGCCTTGTTGAAAATGTCTTGGTGGTATGTCAAATACCGTACCGGGTAATCAAAATGTTGACCTAAAATTTTTCTCAGTGTAAGGGGTAGTAAAATGATTTATTTATATTGATAGATTAGGTCTGTGGCCTACACACCACGACGGCATCAGCCAGTAAGCCGGGGGTCCCTGCGAGTGATCTCTAGTCACGGGTATTCTGCAGGAGGAAAGAGAAAACAAGTAAGTGACAACTTAATGCTTGTTTCTAAATTAATACAAACAGTGTGTGTTTTCCTGGTATGCTTCCCAAATGCCCACACTCAGGTATTTCTTCCTGTATGATACTACTATACCAGTATACTGTAGTATTAATTTGATCTTCATAACCATAGTTTGTCTTTGTACTCCAGTTTTTCTTTTGTATTTTTTCACTCTTGCAATTCTTTTTCTAGTGTGACACTGGTTATACAGAATATACCTTGATCTGCTGTTTTTCATTCTTACTATTTGTGAAACAGATATGTGTATACAAAAAGACTTGATAATAGCCATCTGCTTCATCTATGTTACTTCTGCATATTACCACATGGTTTCAACTCTATACTGTACTGTACAAGTATATAATGTCACAGATTCTCCTCCTGGTACAGTACTTGCCTTGTCTCCATATCTATTGTATTTGTTGCAGTCAGCTAGTATACTTTGGTATGGTTTCAGTAACATTATGTAAATAAGATCTCCAAATTTACATTGCCACTGTATATTTCTTTCTTGTTTGCAATTTTCCTCAACTCTTGATGGGTGTGTTTATATACGAATATAAGGCAAGTCACTGCATTTACAAGGTTGGTCTCTTGTGTCCATTCATCTTGGTCACAGGCTCACAGCAACCATCCTTTCATGTTCTTCCTGCAGTCAAGGACAAATGGTTAATTTATTTATGAAGGAGAAGAATACAGTATCATAAAGTTTACTTTTTGCAAGATTTTAGCATAAAAGGGCATATATTACTATCTACGTATACTTTTTTCAAATTTTAATTTGTTCACATAACTTTTCATTTATTCTTTCCCAGTTTTTTTCAAGCCACAAGTCAGGATCACTTGAGAAACATGAATTGGGCAGTGACTCCGAGTCTAGTGGAATGGGTTTTGGCAGCACTTACACGCTGCCATTACCAGTGAATCAGCCTATAATATATGGAAGTGCTCTGTCGTTTGAACACCCATATGCAGACAAGACTGGAGTGGGTTATGACGCCACGCTTGAAAGAGATGAAGAAAGGTCGTACATAGAGAATAAACTTGGAAGCACATATACTCTGAAAAATACTGTCAGTGTGACTAGTGGTGAGGAATTTGAGTTCCCTGATAGGCCAGTGAGAAGATCTCTTGAAGCGGGAGCAGAGAGATCAGACAATCTTTATCATCTTCATAACAGCAGCTATTTCAACCAGGCAACTGTGGACCAAAGGAATTTTTCCTCAGACAGAACTGCTGTAAGTGATATCCAGAGAGAGTTCAATGATTCAGCTTATAATAGAAGGTCACAGTTACTTAGCAGTAGATGTGGGGATGTAAGGATAAAGGGCAACAGTTCTCATGATGTGCATCATAATGGGGTGAGCTTATTGAAGAGGGACACGGACACAACTTCTAATGATGGCTCAGAATGTACTGTCATGAGCCTGGGGCGGAAAATACAAATTATGGCAAGTGCTCAACCAAGCAGACAATTAGATCATGATAATAAGGATGAAAACTGGGACACTGAATGGAAACAGTTACTTAAGCAGAACCATGAGTTACTTTTAAGGTTGTCTAGCAGAGAAGATCTCCGGTCCCCTGATAACACCCCAGGGTATGACTATGAAAAGACAGTGTTGGTTCATGACAGTGGAGTCCAGACTAGTTTTATTAAAGATGCAGATGAAAAGGGATCCTTGGATTGTACTGCAGGTGTAAAATCTCCTGAACCGGTCATATATTCTGAATATGATGGTGGAGATGAGCGGTTGCATTTTCATATGGAAGATAAAAATCCAGACGATAATGAAAGAAGAGAATCGTATACAAATTCAGAAAGCCCTGAGTGTGTCCTCGAAGATATCATTGAAGAATCAAGTTTAAGTGATAAATCAACTCCCAGGAGATTAGTTAATAATTCAGATGCCATGGAGGAAACTCATAAAAATCCTAACGGGGATCCAAACCCTAATGAAAACCTCGTTCAGTCAAGTCCAGAAGATGTTTCTGAGAGTCGAGAAATACCGCAGTCTGAAAGCTCTGAATATGTGAGTAAAACGTCAGTTGAAAGTCCTGAAAATCCTCCTCTCACATTATTCTCCAGCTCTGCAAATATTTCTTGTGCAACTGACCTTCCAACTTATCGCACAGGTTCAGCCATAACTTATGTTGTACGGAGTCGATTTTCCAGAGAAAGAATGAAACCTCAGTCTTCAAAAGATCTACTGGAGGCTCTACAAATGATTGAGGATGAAGAAAAGAAAGATTCAGAATCACACGAAACGAAGGACTCTCCAGCAATCAAATTAGACGGTGGTACCAGAGAAGAACCTTCAGTGTTTGTCCTTGGTGATGGCGTTTCTATGAGTCATTCGTATGAGTCCACTGCATATGAGGTTGACAGTGGTGCAAAACCTTCCAGCTCAGTTCACAGGTAAATATCATGACTTTATTCCTGTTTAATTTGTAAAAAAAACCATTTGTACAGTACAGTGAGTTCTGCTATAACGCGTGTTTTGATAACGCGAATTTGCTCTAACGCGATTTATGAATTAGGAACGATATTTGTATAACGCGAACGCTTGTTTGCTATAACGCGATTTTTTCTTACTATTTCTCCAATTTTGTGGTATTAACTGTGAATATGGTAAAGAAGAATATCTCCAAGAAGTGTTCTGGTGATAGAATTCCCGGTGATGATCGTAAAAGAAAGGATATAACACTTGAAGAGAAGCTCGATGTTATCAACCTCAAAATCACCCTTCTCCCTCATCAAGTTACATTCATATTTTTTCAAGGTAAAGTGTTACGTTTACTGTATGATTTCATTATTAGATATGAATGTAACCTTTATTTAGACTGTGCTATCCTTTGTGTTAGGCTAGCTACTAAATTTTTCGATTTCGAGTAATCTGCACCTAACCCTATTTTCTCCATAAGCCCTGTTATTTCTATTATGCGATTTTCTATAACACGATATTTTACAAGAACACAATTATCGCGTTATAGCAGAACTACCTGTATTGGAAAAATTGATCATGGACTTGACTGACTTTGTGTAATAATAAGGAACCAGAAAAAAAATCATATATCGGTGATTTATCCCATTATAGTCATAGGTATTGTAAATAATGTATGTATTGTAGATATTCACAGGGAAATAAAAAATAAGAAAGGAACAATACAACAGTAAACATAATACATGATGTTGGTATTTAGATACATAACTGTACATAATTTTATATAGGCTTGTGTTAGCCAACTCTGATCTAGAATATTTTTTACATCTGCAGGACTGTTGGCAGCAAATCTCTTGATCTCAAAAAGTCAAGTGTCTCCTTGATGTCAAATGAGTGTGAAGCAACACTCCCTGTTCTGCAGGTGTTGGTGGAGAAGGTATTCCTCTTCACGCAAGACTTGGCTGAACGCTGGAAACAAGGAAATGCTGATGGTAAGCCTCTTCTTCATCGAGTTACTTGTGACATGAGTGCAGCATATTTTACATTCCAGTATTTTGTTTGCAAATCTTTTAAGTCACTTCCTAGATTCTCTCATGTTTAACTGTATTGAAAAAAGCTACCTCATGATTACATCTTTTCTTTTAATTCTGACAAGTCTATCCCCACTGAGACAGTTGCAAGAATTGAGAGTAATCCTGACTCCCCTTAAATGTGTACATGAATGAAGTGTGGGGGTGGAAAGGGGGAAGAGATATAAAATGGGATAAGAGGATAGAGGAAGGGCAAATGAGGATGAGAAGGGTTAACTGTGGGTGAGAGAGGATCAGTGTGTTGTGTTGTGTATGGTGGAGACTTGTGCAATTGCTATACTACTTGATAGTAAGAGGAAGATAGATGTGTTTATAATGACTAATAATTACAAGTTTGATTTTGAGTATTATATGTCAAGGATATTTGTTTCCATTTTCTCACCTGTGAAGTGTTTAAAGTTGAACATTAACATCTAAAGGATCTAAATAGGAAGACCCCCTCCTCTTGAAAGCTTTTATCCTGTGTAGTGGGAATTATGTGTACATTACATAAAAAACATTTAATTTGTAAAGAATATTGTGTTGGGTAATCAAAAAAATTTACCAATGAAGAGCAAATAATATATTATTTAAATCTTGCAATGCTTGTGTATCTGTTTTTCAGACTCTTGTAAGCCTTTTCACATTTCAATGCAATAAGTAGCCAAATTCAAGAGTAAGAAATGCCCACTCCCCCTCATTTGTTTTCATCCATTTCTTTTAGCTGCCTTACCAGATGTGTTCTGTTTCAATTTTCCTTTATCAAAACATGGCCCTAGGATTTCTATTTGGTTTACCCATCACTTCATACACTTCATCATCATTCATCAGTAGCACATCCATCCTCATGAACCACGTGACACCAAATCACTACAGTGTGTGTGTGTGACTGTTACCAGATTGTCGCGATGATCTGCTCTACCAACTAGCAGAGGCTGAGAGACTCCTGGAGCATATCTGCATCCAAGAGGGAAGAAAAGAGGACCCCAAGAAATGTCCTGACCTCCATACCAAGTGTGAGGAGAAAATTCGCAAGAAGCAGGAGGAATCTGAGGCTAGGATACAGAAAAATATTGAGCTAATACGTAAGGTGAGGATGATGTGTGTGTGTGTTGCATGAATATCATATAATGCTATACTGTACTGTGTACAGTTTGTGAAGGCATGATGTACTCGACCTCTATATGCCTATTTACCAATCCATTGGCATATTCTGTTATTGGTATGAAACATATACAATAAGCTGGTTAGCACAGACTACATTTTTCACTATCACTTTAGTACCTGTCTTCAAATTTTAGAGCTGGAGCACATGTCAGTTCATAATGTAGGTTTTGTGGGTAGTAAATAATTTTTTAGGCTGGCATGAATCTCACCTTTTAACATGGGATCCTGTGGGAAAATTGGTCCCATATAAGGAGAATTCACTTTACAAATGCTTGGAGGAATACACGAGGCTTGTTAAGCAGTTCCTTACTGTATCGTAGTATACTTGTCATCTCAACTGATGTATACAGTATATAATTAGTGGAATAAAACTGTATCACTGTTTTGCAAGTAGCTTTAGTTCTGATATTGTGACTTGCATTACTGAGGTTGTTTTTCCTTGTTGCCTTTTGTGTTCAGTACAAGTAGAGGTTATAGTGGCTATGTCAGATAATATGCTAAGTTGATTTTGTAGTTCAGTATTCCCGTGTTTTAAGCGGGAATTACGTTCCTGAAACCCCCGCGCAAAGCCAAAACCGCGAATACTCTTTTAGGAATCACTGTATCTGTGGCCACTAAACAGCTCAGGTAGGTCATGCACTTAACCACACCATGCTCTCCACTCACGGCCCAGTGGTCACACAGATCACTGATGCACTGTACCGGCATTTACTAACAACATTATTTGAAACTACTGTAATCATATTGTAGTATAATAATGGAAAAACGTAAATACAGTTATACTATACAAAAACAAATTATTTACAAGTAAATAAAAAATTTCTTATTTCGCTGAGGTCAGCAACACCTGCATTGCCAGCCTCTCCCTGCTGTCCCGGCGTCTGCCCGCCCTCACGCAGTCACAGTAGCGTTCACAGTATGGTAGGCACGTGTGGACTGAGGCTTCTCGGAGCAGCGGGTGTCTGAGGCGGGTAAGGGTGGCCTCTGTTTGCCGCACCGCATAGGGGAATATCGAAAATGGCACAATTTTTTTTTTTTTTTTTTTTTTTAAAGGATACAGTATTTTATACAGTGGTCCCTTGGCTAACGAACGGTTCGGTTAACCTTCCATAAGGATCTTCAATTCGGTTAACGAACAAAAATTTTATTAACGAAATCCTTACGACAACATGTTTTGGTTGCGCATCAGCTGATAGGCTAGTCAGCCAATACAGTAATCGAATCTAGGTTTTTATTCGATTCCATTGGAGTACATAACAAGAAGGTTGTGCTCTTTATTATTTTTGCAAGTTTTATATTAAAATTATTAGACATTTTAAAATTTATTTAACATATTGATAATATATGCAGTACAGGGAACTAGTTTTTGGTGCACCCATCAGCCACTTCACTCACCCACCAAAGTGTCTGTTTAACTCTGTTTACAGTGGAGGAAACATCTTGCTTGTGGGTCTCTTGAACACAGTATTTTTATGTTTTTACATTACAATTATTGGTCATTCTGAAATTTATTTAACATATTGATAATACAGTATATAGCGCAGTGCAGTGTTGATTTAAATAAAATAATCTTTAATTAAAGCTAGTGAACTTAAAATATTAGTGGTGAAATTACTGTATTGCATCCAGCATGAGTCCAAAGAAAACTAGAAAGGTGATTTCAATTCAAGTGAAACCGGAAATTATTAAGAAACATGAAGAAGGCATTCGAACCAATGTACTAAGTAAAGAATATGGCATGTCGGCATCAACTGTGTCTACAATTCTTGCGCAGAAAGAAAATTTAAAGAAGTGAAAGTGAGAGATAAATCTACCAGAGTGTTTAAAGGTGGATCGTTAATTGCAGAAACAGAGAGGTTACTTCTTATTTGGATTAAAGAAAAAATGAAAGGAGATTCCATTTCTACTGAATTTATTTGTGAAAGAGCCAGGGAAATATACAAGCATTTGAAGGAAGATCAACCTAGTTCTTCTGAAACTGAGTTTGAAGAGTTTAGGGCCAGCAAGGGCTGGTTCGATAAGTTTAAGAAAAGAAGTGACATTATAGTGTTGTTAGGAATGGTGAAGCTGCCAGTGCAGATAAAGAAGGAGCAGAAAAATTTGTAGTGGAGTTCAAGGAACTGATGGATGAAGAGAATTATCTTCCACAGCAAGTGTTCAATGTGGATGAAACTGGGCTGTTCTGGAAGAAAATGCCCAAAAGGACATTCATCACCAGAGATGAAGCTTCTTTACTGGGGCATAAACCCATGAAGGACCGTCTCACTCTATTGCTTGGTGCCAATGTTTTAGGGGATTTCCGACTGAAGCCTATGCTTTTATACCACTCTGAGAACCCCAGGGTGTTCAAGCAACAAAAGGTGGTAAGAGGACAACTTGGAGTTTATTGGAAGTCAAACCGTAAGGCATGGGTAACGAGACAGCTCTTTAATGAATGGGCAGTTGAGGTGTTTTGCCCTTCTGTGAAGAGTTACCTAACCACCAATAAACTTCCATTAAAGGCTCTTCTCCTTCTGGATAATGCCCCTGGTCATGACCCTGAACTTGCCAGCACTTTGGAGGCTTGATTTGACTTTGTCAAAGTGTTGTTTTTGCCTCCCAACACTACATCAGTTATGGACCAAAATGTAATCAGCAACTTCAAAAAGCTGTACATGAAGAAAATGTTCAGATGGTGTCATCAGGCAACTTCCACTGATCCTGATCTATCACTGGCACAGTTCTGGAAGACGCAATATAACATCCTGGAGGCTGTAAAATTGATTGTGTCAGCATGGCAAGAAGTCTCCATTAAATCCCTGAATTCTGCATGGAAAGCACTGTGGCCAACAGCAGTCCATGATTTTGAGGGATTTGAGGAAGAAACGGAGTTGGACAAGGAGATTGTGTCCATTGGTCAGTCGACGGGACTCAAAGTGGAGGAGGAGGATGTTGAAGAGCTTGTGATGTCTCATGAGCAGGAACTTACTCCTGAAGATTTGAAACAACTGGATGAGATGCTAGAAACAGAGTGGTTAGGAGGAAAAGGAAAGTGATGACCATATGTCTTCTTCAGACTTAAAAGATGTTGTTCACCACTGGGAGATGTTCAGGAAACTGGCTGCAAGGCACCCAAATGTGGAAACATCAGAACCGATTTTGTGTACTGTGGAGGAAAATTGGTCTCCTTCAAGAACCAGCTAATGATCAGGAGGAGAAATGCCCCACAACGAAAAATTGACAGTTTCTTCTCTAAAAGGCAGCGTGAGAAAGATGCTTCCCGTCAGTGTTCCTCTTCAAAAAGGAGAGAGGATTTTCCTGTTGGAGAATCTGTCAGTCCAGAGGTTCCTGACATTATTATGGAAGGTGACTCGCCTTCCAAGAAGCAGTAAAATGCTTCTCCACCCCCACTTCCTTCTCTTCTCCCTTCTCCACCCCCCATTTCTAATTCCCATCAGCATCATCAACCAGGAGCCTTCTACATACACACCTCAAAGTAAGTGTACTTTACTGCATTTATTTTTTTTACTTTGTATGTACTTTTCCGTGAGCTGGAACCAATTACCCAATATCCCATTGAAACAATGGATTTGGTTAACGAACGACCCTCTGGAACGAATTGTGTTCATTAACCGAGGGACCAGTGTACTGTATATGTATATACTGAATATAATTTTTTAGTAAAAAAAAACGCATATGGTCAAAATCGCAATAAAAAAAACGAAAAACACGGGATTACTGTACATGTTGCAGCTTCGTGATTTTTCTTCATTAATTTGAAGCTCGTGTCTTTTTAAAACCATAGAAGAACAACTCGAGGAAATAAATTTAAGATGGAATTTGCACATTAGTAAATATGCAAGTGAAGGTCGTTTGTGTTATTTTGAGGGATTTTAAAGTCAGTTATGGCTTTTGGATAAAGTATTGCTGTATTTTTATAATATGCATTTTACCATTACGGTATCACTGTACCTGTAATGGGTGTTTTCACAATATTTCAGTTGATGGATGATAAAAAGCTACTGACGGAGCAGTGTGAACGGATGCACCGGACTGAGAGACTCGCAGAGAAGAAACATGCAGATAAGGTAGTTACTGTACTCTAATTATTATCCTGTTAGGCTGTGTAAGTTTAGAATATTTCTCTCCTTGTTTGTAATATGTTAGTCATAATTTAAATTATAGATGGATATTAATGAATATTTGTTCTCATTTTCTAATTTTTTCACTAGCAACCAGTTCCCCTTATTCTAACACACTTAACACATGGTTCACTCTGTATGAAATGTTTTAATAGTACTCAACAATTTCCCACTTATTCAATGCATTTCAATGCTTCCTACTTTGTTTTCCAAACAACTGTCATATTTTCTTTCCAGATTCATCAGTACTACAGATTCTCTCTCCAGATGTTTCTCAGTTATATTGTATCCCTGAACACACACACACCTAATTCACACATCCTCTTCCTGTCATGAACCCCTGCTGTTCTTCCTCTAAAGCTTTATGTATGAACTATACATATCGGTTTACAGTATATGATTGAATTACTGTATATAAATTCACTGCCATTCCCTTGGTACTCTAACCTCTTTCTTGCCTAACCTCTACAGTACACTCTGTGTCATTACTATCTTCCCATCTTTCACTCTTCTGCATCATATGTTTTCAAGGAAGCAGTATGTCAGTCCTTTTGAAGGCTTTGATAACATTACAGAGGTCAGAGTAATAACCATACTAGAGGAAGTATTACACCTTTAAGACATTCTTCCTTCCCTTTTCCACCATTAATCATTTTCATGTACTGTATACAGTATTAAATATTTTTTTAATGTGGTATACATATATAATTATTTTTTTAGGATGTGTAAGTGTGTATACTTGTACAGTGTATGTTTCATATTTGTTTCATATATGAATTTCTGAGTGTTAGTCAGTGATAACCAAAAAAAAAACACTGTGAAGAAGTTTTGAACAAGTGTTATAAAGGAACTGCTAGTGGGTCATTGTGAAACTTGAATATGTGAAGATGGCCACTGCTATGAGTGTGGGGGGGAAGGTGATCCTAATGGATGCAGATAATTATTGGTAACTCATTACTGTAATTCATTGTTATTTCAGATTAAACTTCTTGAGGAAAGACATTCTCAAGAAATGAAAAATTCAAGAGAAAGAGTTCTTGCATCTGAACAGGAGAAGCGAGAAAAATGGACCCAGCAGAAGACCAAAGTCATCAAGGTTGGTGTTGCCAAAAAACTCTATAGGACACTGGCCAGTTGGTTTCTTTCTCAGCTCTAGGACTTGGACATATTTCGTGTATATTGGGGGCTGACTATAGATGCTACTTTTTATCATTATCGTTTTTATGGCCATTTTCCAGTGAATAGTTACATGTGTGATGATGTTGTTTATGATATATTTTTGCTAAGGTATACTCTTAACCATTACGGTAAGCATTATGAAATATTTATACAACTCCAACACATTTATGGTTGAAGGAAACTACATATCGAGGACTGGAGACCAAGATGAAGGACCTGAGTGCCAAACATAGAGATGAGGTTAGCCAATTGAAGGCCCAGCATTGGGAAGCAATGAAGGAAACTGAGGAAAAATTTGTGAGTCAGTTGCGTGCCCAAGAGGATGAATTAAAAAAGAAATATGAACAGGAGAAAGAAGAGGCATGCAAGAGGGAGAGGGAACGGGAACAACAGAGGTATTTTCATCAACATATTTCAGCGTGTGTTTCAGATACCTCACAATCACTTTAACTTGAATTTATATCACTAATTGGAGGAGTAAAGAATTTAATCATTGAGTAGCTGAATTAAATAAATTAAAAGGTGCTTTGAGATATAAATGGATGTGAAGCATGGAATGGATGCAAGAGGAAGAAGCAAGTTGTAAATGACAAATGATGAGCCTAAGAGCAATATTTGAAGTGAAGAACATGCAAAAAATAAGAAATGCATTTGAGGTGAAGTAGAAGTTAAAGAAGCGTAGGGAAGAGGGTTTGCTTTGGTGCTATGTACTGTATATACTGAAGGAATGATCAGTCAAAAGAGTGTATGATACAGAAGTGAATGGAAGGAGGGAGAAGAAAACTGAGGATGTGGAAGAGTGGGATGAGGGAGACACTGGGTAGGAGGGGATGGATATTCAGAAACCAGTATTTTGCATAAATGACCAGTCTAAATCAACTTGACCTAACCTAGTCTCAGTGCAGGGGGTTCCCATTTATCATTTTTTTTATTATTATTACCATAAGTCATGAATTAATTACGGAAGATGTTCATTAAACATCGCCTTAGTGTTATACTGCCATTGGCTGTTGTGTGCTGCCAGGTAACTACTGTTTTTCTGGAGGACCATGCAGAGGACCCCCACCTTAGTGTGGTTGCTGTTTCAGATTGTGTATTTGTGCTTCACAGACTATGCAGGATTTGTTGCTTTCTGTTAACTTTACCCCCTTACCTCCCACCAAGGTAAGATCTAATCAGGGTAATGCTGAGAAGATTAAGGCCAGAGCAAAATTTTTTACACCCCTTAGTTATGATGGATGACCAGAATCAGTACAGTGTACCTCTCAGTGTGGCTGTGATATGATGTAAGGCATAGCACTGTACATATATATATATTGTTTTTTTTTTACCTTAAATAGTTTGTCACGTTTTATCTGCTGAATTGTTTTTTTTCTTGGGAACCTAACATTATTGTACTGTACTATATTGCCATTTATTATGGGTGAAAAAATGATTCATTTCATGTTCCTTTGCTTAAAGTTGCACTTTTCAAGAAAACACACCCTGTTTGATGACAAGCAGAAACTCCCTGGACAAAACAAGTTAAGATATTTTTTTATATAATCTCGAAATTTTTTGTACCAGATTGGAAGTGGAGTTGCGACAGAGTGAACAGTTAGCTCTGAGTCGTATGGAAACAGTTCGCAAGCAGCATGAGAGAGATCTGAAGTCACTCATTGAAGAACATCATCGTACTCAAGAAAGAATTCGCTCCGAAAATGAGGCTGCATCGAGAGATGCTACCAAGGAGAAGGAACGACTTAAAGACGAATATGAGAACAAGATCAGGCTGTTAATTCGAAGTCATGAGGTTGGTTTTTATCAAACAGTTCAGAGTTGCTGCCTTGGATATTAAAAAAAAAAATGGAAAACACTATTATTTGGCTACATTGACTAAAGAGAGAGATATGAAGTTCAACTGTTGAAATGTGAAGGTGGACCCTGTCATTAAATAGTTGAAAATTTTATTAACATTTTTACAGTGTGTCAAACCTAACCATAAAGAAGTAGTTCTTGAATAATGAGGAAAGTAGAACCATACATCTTTGTACTATTGTTTCCTAATGGATAATTTGAATTTTAATCCCAGTTTGATGACCAGTATTTTTCCTCAGGATGATACAGCTGTTCTTCGCCAAAAAGATGAAAAGAGTCGATCTGAGTGGCGGGAACAGTTTTTGAAGGAACACAACGAGGCCCGGTTGCAAGCTGAAAGGGAGCTGCGAGAGAGACTCAAACGACAACGTGACAAAGAGATTGAGCGAGCGATAAAGGAGATCCAGCTGGAGACTAGTACTCGTGAGGAGCAGGACCACAGGGCCTTTGAGATGAAGATTAAGTAAGTAGAGCCCCAGAGCTATGGTAGACGTGCACAACCTTTGAAGCTTCTTAAAGTTCTTATTGAAAGGAATTAGTTAACTAGAGCCCATTGAAATGATACAAATATCTTCATAACTAATCTTTTCGACAGACTGACGTATTCAGATTGTTTTCTTGCTGCTTTTAATTTTTGACCTTCACTTGATTTGAAGATTACAGTACAGTATTAATTTCTTCACGTTCAAATGGAGCCTTTTATTATTATTATTATTTTTGAGGTACAGTATTCCTTCAATAAGTTATTGTACACCCAGTGTTTGAGACAGTATTTCATATGATTCTGTAACCAGTTTTTGTTCATGTCATTTAAACTTTACCTTTTAGATGGTTCTCACTTTCTCTTGCTCATTTTTCCCCTTGAATACTTAAAATTGCAAACTTACATGATTTCATTAAGTTTGAGTTTTACTTACCCAAGGAAGAAATAATTTTTGTTAATATCTTGTCTTTCAGGAACTTGAGAGAAAGATATGAAAATGAACTAAATGAGTTGGAAGCAAGTGAGCGAGGTGCCAGAAGCAGATATTTAGAAATGAAGTCCATTCTGGCCCAGAAAGAGGAAGAGATTGTGTACTTTAGAGCTCGCCTTCATACACAAGACCTGGAACTGTGTGAATTACAACATGTGAGTTAATATTTTGTATTCTTATCCCACAAGTGGAGTAGTGGATACAGTACTTCCCTCCTGTCCTAAGAATCACTTGTCCAAACCCAAGGCACCCCAAATCCACCCAACTGTAAGTGGGTTAACTTTAAAAATCATGGAAGTAAAAGAGATGGAGTGTAATGCTGGCCATGCTGCTTCTTTATGAATTAAAAGTGCAGTAAATACTGTAGTGTATCCACACTGTCCCTAACATGCTATCAGGTCCATGAGACCCACTTTCACTTTCATAATGCCCCTCTGCATATTTAATACTGTATAATGCAATGTAACCTACACAATACAAAGTTCAGATTATCTTGGCAGATAAGCTCCTCCCCTTGTTGTTAATAATAGTAATAATAGCTGGTCTTTTTTTTCTTTTTCAAAAGCGTTCCTTCTTCTAAAGCATTCACTAGCGTTTGTAACACTACAAAGTCAAAGACTTGAAAATAAAAAGAAATAATGTACTACAATAAAGGGGAATGGGACAACTGGCCGCCGCCATCTGGCCGCAGCCCAGTTTGGTTAGGTTAGGTTAGGTTAGGTTAGGTTGTCAACAAAAAGTTCCATATGGCGGCCAGTAAAAAGCGGCGAGTTTCCCGCTGCCAGTGAGGCTGCGGCCAGTTGCGGCCAGATGGCGGCGGCCAGTTGTCCTAGACCCACAATAAAGGATCACAAAAAGTAACAGTTTGACTTCTGTCATTCATATATCCTTAAGTTTTAATACTTTCTAAATCCTGTAATTCTCCATCACCGTACAGTACCCTGTTCAGGATCGTGATCTCCACCCCCCACACACACACACACACAAAAAAAGTCATAAGTTGTTTCTTAAAGGCCTCCACAGAAGTCAGCCACTTCATGGATGCAGGCAACAATTGTACAAGCTATTATCCCATTCTTGATCAAATTACATTGGCTTCCAATTAAAGCTAGGATTTAATTGAAACTCTGTCAAATGACTTTTAAGACACTAATGGTTGGTGAACTTAAGTATTTGGCCAACCTACTAATTCCACTGACTTCACACCGAAATGATATTGAGTCGTAATGATGATCCTTCATGCCTTGAGGAGCCTAGAGCAGATAGAGATGTTCTTATGCTACTTGGTCCTTTTCATATACAGCACCCAGGAGTTCTTAGTAGGAGAGCAAAAATAAGCCTGGTAAACCAGCTGAATATTGTTTGAACTTTATTCTGCAGATAATTAAGTAGGCAAACCCATAAGAAGTTAACCTGAGACAAAATAAGTAGGGGGCTCCCCCCCCCCCCAAATTTGCGGGGGTTAGGTTATCAAAATGGCCACGAATAACATTTACGGACGTGGGGTGGGGGGGTGTACATTTTTACTTGTGTACAAAGAAATGTATATTCCCTTTGTGTTTGCCCTTAGGACAATGATTTCTTTTACCTGTATTGTATATACCTGTGTGTGTGTGTGTGTAGACACACACACAAAACACATACAAATAAATAATAATGGAAAAATCCACTCACAAATAACCCAAAACAAATTTATTAAAAATGTGACAGTCTACCCTCAAGTCCGTGCTTTATTACTTTATTAATAAAGCACGAACTTGAGGGTACACTCACATTTTTTATAAATTTGTGAGAGGATTTTCCAATTATTATTTATTTGTATGTGTTTTATGTGTGTTTGTCTACACACACACACACACACACACACACACACATTTACAATACAGGTAAAGGAAATTACTGTCTCTAGAACGAATGGCTCATTGTCCCGGTCGCAAAAATTTTGGCAACTTTAAAACTACCCACGGACATTCTTGGGTACATCCAGGGTGTCATCCATGAATAATAGAGGACCGCAAAATAAAAATCCGCAAACTTGAAGGGGGCCCTGTGAATGTAATAGTGTCACAAGACACTGTCTATCCAAAAACTGTTTAACAGCTTATAGATTTTGAATATGAAAGTTGCAGTTCTTTAACTACTGAATTTATATACTTTAAAAAATTCAGTTTAGACTCAAAGTACACTCCAAGATTACGAACAGACTCGACAGGACTGAGTTGCACTTCCCCAAAGTTTAAAGAACCAAAATCATTTGTGCTGTCTCCCCTCCTATTTCCTTGGATAACGATAATCTCGGTTTTGCCGTCATTCAGTAAGTTTTCTTCTAGCCATCCAAATCCTAATATCAGACGTCAAGGATTTCATTATCTCCTCAATATCCTTAACATTTAATATTTTCACATAAAGCTGTGTATCATCAGCATAGAAATGATAGGCAACACCATGAGCATCTAGCAGAGATTGCAAGACTACTGGTATAGACTGTAAACAGAAGTGGTCCCAAAACTGATCCTTGTGGGACTCCAAACTGCACACAGACCAGGTCTGAAATGGCTACACCAATCATCACACATTGAGATCGCTCTGACAAATCAGACTCGAGCAGTGAGAGTGCATTCTCATGGACACCAAACGACCAAAGATCCTGAGGCAACAGATGATGATCCACCGTGTCAAAAACTGCAGAGAGATCTAGCAAGACCAGGGGGAGGACTTTCCTGTGCAAGTGTTTATTACCAAATCATTATGAATTCTACATAAGGCAGTTTCAGTTGAATGATGCTTTCTATAGGTTGAATGGACCAGAGGGATCACTCCATTTCTCTCTAAACAGAGGAAGTAATTGATCCAGCATAGCACGCTCTATGATCTTTGATAAGAATGAGAGATTAGAGACTGGATGATGGTTTGACATTTTCAGTATCAAAACCAGGTTTCTTAAAAAGTGGACACACTAAAGCCTGTTTCTTAAGATTGCAAAAAATTTCCCTATGTAAAACATGTATTTAAGATTCTATGATTCTACTAATAAAGTCTGCAGCTTGTTCATAAGCGAGTGGTACCTTAGATACATTTACAGGATCAAGATGACAAAAGGTCTTCTAGTACTTGATATAGTGCAGAATGTTGTTCACCCTTACAGGACAAATTGATGATAGAGTGAGGTTTATGGCATAACTTGGTCAAAATTCAACTGAAAATTCCTCATTTAGAGAAACACCTTCAGGGTAATTTTTTATAAATGATATCTTTGTCATAAAAAGCATGGGAAAATCTGAGGCAAGTTAAAGTAAATACTTTAATGAATTGTCAAGGGCTTAAATATTAGCCCCATTTTTTATTCAATATTATGATTCTAATTATTTTATGGTTGAAAACTTCTGATATTGTGTACCAATTGGCCTCTTGCATCTTATAAATTGTACATTGTGTCGACGAGTCATTGTGTACTGTACGGTATGTGAAAGTAACATTTTATAATTTAATTAATTTCAGATGTTTCGTCCGCCAGATGACTAATTCACTTTAGTTTCAACTGGATGCATACAACATTGTCTGCCATAGTATCCGCAGGTAATAATGAACTTTTGCTACTGTTTGTGAGTAATGGACTTGAAAGATTTTATTCTGTAGTACAGTACAGTAGTGGTAGGGTCGGTTTATTATGCTGATTGTAGATAATATCTCCAGTTTATTTGTTAATCACTTCTTTTAATCACTATTATATTTACTATTATCATTAGAAGTATCATCACATTATCAGCTTTGCCTTCACCCTTGTGACCATGATAATCATCATTATTATCTTTACTGTAGGTATCATTGTGATCTTAGTTATTGTTAAATGTAAATCCATCAAAAGAGGTACAAATTAGAGAAAAATCTAAATAGAATCTAGGACTTTGAATTTTCTTCATTCTTGCAAGCTATATCTTGCTATGGTGCAGGTTGACTGAATCAGGAGCAACACTGAAACTCCCTCATTTTGTCATTTGTTGCTCCTGTCTTAAAGGATCAGATTATGTTCTGCTAGTGTCCTCCTTCCACAGTGATACAGCAGTTTAAGACTGCTATCTTTCCTTCCCATTTAGCATGCAAAAACCATTACAGTACTATATTGATTTTTTCCCAGAATTCATATAGGTGCACCATAGGTCACCAGCAAGGTTCTGGATTCTTTACTCATTGATATGAATTATGTTTTGCAGCCAGGTGAAATTAAGTGCTCAGAACCAATCAGAAACTGTTGTGAGTTCTCGGAGTCAGTCACGAGCTGCTTGTCACTTACACAACAAGGCTCCAAACTATCCTATTTTGTCTCTTTTTAAGGTTCGTAGCCTAGAAAGCTGGATGATGATATAGAGGAAGTCTTAATAAGAGGTGACATTCAGCTGTCCAATTTAGTGAGAAAGATGTACTGTATAAAGGTTGTGGTTGATATAAGTTGTAGAATACCCAGATGATAGGGTCAGTGTAAGATGTAGTGCTGATTATTTCTATTCATATGAAAGGAGATATTTACATAAGAATAGGGATTTGGATAATTTTTTAGTTTAATTAGAATAAGAGTGAATACAAATGATATGGAAAGACGTGTGCAATATGCCAGTAAGTATCCAAAGGGGGTAAGAAATGTCGCTCTTTGTCTTTATACATGGAGCTTTAAAGTGGGATACAGTTAGAGGTTCTTAATTGTGACTCGTCTTTCCTTAAATAATATTGTATTAAAGTTAGATACCAACCTGATGTCAACTTCATTGTTGTTGACATTGGTGATGATGTTTGTGGATTGAACTCAGTAACCTTATTCACTCACCACATTGTTCTTGTTGCTTCTGGAGGGTACAGTATGTTTCTCAAAGTGTCACTTTCTTTTTACTTAGTTATATTCATACAGTATATGTCAGTACTGTAATGGGTATTACTATACAGGATATTGCTCATCATTTGTCTAGTTATTTCAGGCTATTGATGTTTTGGCAGCTAAGCTCTCGGTGATGTGCTATGAATGACAATTCTTGATTCTTTCTGTAGTAGCCTTTTAATTGGTAAATATATTGTAAATAAATGCTCCTTTAATCATATGTACTATTTTATTGATTTAAAATCATAAGTATTGGAATAATTTTTATTTTATACTATATATTATATAGTTTGTTGTGAATGACATGACCCGTGTTTGTGTTGTTATACTATACAGTATTGAGCTTAAACTGTTGAATTTCTTTGTGTCAATCATTGTCTTTCTTCACTTAACATCAGCATTGTCACTGTTTCCTCTGTTTGTGTGTGTATCTAAAATATTTTTTTTTTCAGATTTTTCTTGGCTACCTGTTTAAGGTTGGCCATATTTAAAATAAAAGAATACGATAACTTTAGTATGGTGGTAGAGTATAAAATTAAATGGTGCTATTAAAATAGATGTGACAAACTGGATGAATCTGATGTCCTTGATCACCAGAATAAGACAAACCTGATCCCCTTGTTAATCACAGTACAGTAAGTGGTTAGGGATGTTAGAGCCATTAGGTTAAATAGAATTGTAATGGGGTTTCAACTTTATTATTATTGGCTCTGGTGTGAGACCATGTGTTGTAAAGCTGTTTGATGGTACAGGTTGACAACCCTTTATCCGAAATTCTGAAAACCGAAAGTTTTTTGTGGAGCTTTTTTTTTTTTTACAGGGATTAGCCCACCCAGGCATAGATCACTGACGCACATCGGGGCCTGGGGGGCGAAAATGTAATAGTAATACTAATTATTATAATAATAATAATAATAATAATTATTCATAGTAAATAAACATTTTAATTAAAAAATACACCAAAATAAAATAATAATGATAACAATAATACTGTATTAATAAAATAATGATAATAATAATAATAATAATAATAATAATAACAAAGAAATACAAGAATGAAAAAAAGATAAAAGTGAGAAACACGACCTAGACCTATGAATCATTATTATTACCTGTATTATTATTATTATTATAATTATTATTATATTTTCGCCCCCCAGGCCCCAATGTGGGTCAGTGACTTGTGCCCGGATGGGCTAAAAAAAAAAAAAAAAATCATGAAAACCGAAAAATTCCGAAATGCCTCTGGTCCCAAGGATTTCGGATAAGGGATTGTCAACCTGTACTGTACATCCCCAGAGATCATCTGGATAATTGCTTTCCTACTTTTCAGTGTACAGTAATATCCCTGTTAGCCTGAATTTTTGATCCCCAGAACCTTTCCTTACCCGAAAAATAAAATTTTAGCCTTCAAGAAAAATCTCTTCATTCCGGGCATTTGAATGAATTTCCCAGCAATTGCATCATGTGCCGAGCAAGTGGGTGGCAGACTCTGGAGCCATAATTGGTTACTACTGCTTATATATATATATATATATATATATATATATATATATATATATATATATATATATATATATATATATATATATACAGTAAAACCTTCATTAACCGCCCACATATGGAGGGAAGGGGCCGACGGATAATCCAAAAGGTCGGTTAATACTAGTAAATAAAGTCTACGGAAATGAAACACCTCATTTAAGTCTCTATTCATTTTTGTTCATTTGCCATTCATATTTCAATAGCATTTGCTTTAAAACGTTAACCACTTTAGTAAATAAATATGAACCAACACAGAAACCGTGAATAAAAAAAGGAAAAGTCAAAGAACATATGGCATCACGAAAATTGTGGGGGTCATTTGTTATTGTCTTGGAGCAGCGCAGCATAGACCACATGGTCCTGCCAGCCCAGCACACATCACAACAATGTAGCTGCCATGCTCAGTCCTAATCATTATAGGGTAAGTTAGAAATTGATTTTCAGTACTGTACTGTACATGATAAATTTTTTATTTGAACATCTACCAATCATTAAAAAATACATTAATAATTAAATAAGTGGAATTATTAATTACAGTGTGGGGGCCTTCAAGAATCTTCTTTTGCAACTTTGGAAGCTTCTCATGTCTCTAATCTTACCTATATCTATTAACATATTAAATAAAAAAACTGAATTTACTGAAAGCATATCATAAGTATTATTATTTTACTTGAACTAATTTATTATGAGCATAAATAGGCCAAACAGTGTTAGTGTAATATGCTGGCTGTTTGTTTTGAATAGTTGTGCCTCCCAACTGATAAGCACGTCTGAATAACGGATTCTGTTTGAGTAATGACTGTGCTGTGACTTAATTAGTCTGGGACTTTTTTTCTTTTCTTTTTTGCTGTACGGATATAGGGTGAATTTTGTTTACCCTGTATTTACAATATTGTATACTGTACTTGAGCAGTAGTGTTTGCATAAATAAATACTGCTGTCTGTCTAACTGCAGTTAAGCCTCCAAAGCAATGGTGCTCCATGCCAGATGCAGTTTAAATGTGGAAACATTCACTAATGCCCAGAAAAATCCCTTAGATGCGCAATTTTTTTCCAGGGGTAAGAGAATTTATCTCAATACCTGGAAACGCTCTACACCAATTTTTCTGGCTAATGGGGAGATTACTAGTGTACTGTATTCATATTTAGAAATTTGTACAGGTGATGTTATTTCACAGGATTTAAGGAAACTATGTGTCTGACAGAAGCACACTAACATTATTATAAATTGTTCATAATCATTTTAGGTTAGATTTGTGACCTTTGTACAATGTTAAATATCATCTTTGGATATCTATTTCCGTCCATGGTTTTGGTACAAACATTTGTATGTGTATAAAGTATTCTACTTTAATAAACTATAGTCAATATGAGTATGTACAATGCAACATATTGTTTCACTCTATATTCTTCTAGTTTATGGCATAATAAATAGGCAAAAATACAGTCCAGATAATAATTCATTTTTAATGTTTTCTTGTTAAACTTTAAATAAATGTAAACATTCAATGCAGTATATACTACAATCCAACTTTTGTTGCATACTCAAAAACTACATTAAATTCTCTATCTTTTGACACAAGAATCATTAAAATTGTATGGTTGGTTATGGAGTAATTATAAAAGCAATGAACATTAACTTTAACCTTGGTTATCCTGAAACATGATTTTTGCACATGTTCATACATATGTGGATGCAGGAATTTTATATGTGGCATTAATTTATCTTGAGATTAACCAATGGTATGTTATTGCATCGTCCACTTTATTATGTGGATAAAAAACATGTTCTTCGTGTTAAAAGGGACATGCAGTTTAAATACCCTGGCAGCCAGTGACCATTTTCTGCCCCACCCACTTTTTTCAATTCTGTAATTTTTTTTTTTTTTTTATACGACTAAGTGACAATTTCTAATTAGGAGGCAATGGTCGACTGATGGTGTGTCTTTGACCAAGTGGAGGGTGGACATGTTCATCAGCTGCTCACCTGAGGCATCCCTTTATATAATGATGCCATGACCATCAAAGCAAAACTTGCACTTATGCACAGCCTTTCATTGGCTTCTTATGGGAAAAATTAGGAAACAGAATCCCCATAGCACATTTACCTACCAAATCAAGTGCAAAGGAAACGTAAGACATTCACGAAATTAGTCCACAAAGTACTACAGTACAAGGTACTCATTAGTTAACAATACTCAGAAAATATAGTGAAAAGTTTACCTTGTTCCAACTGTTACAGTGATAAGTTGGAGGTAATGTTAAAAAAATACAAACACTAAGACACTCGGGTGAGGGTGGAGTGCGAGACCCATGGTGATGATCCACCACCAACTGGAAAATCTTTGCAACCAGTGACAATGATCATTATGTCTGTGGTGGAGTTACTAGGCCTGATACACCCCTCCCCTCTCCCTCCCACTCACTAGAGAATGCTTTGAAATCACACCTCAGGGGGAGAGAGGATTGGCAATGCTTAGTGGTAAATGCAGGAGTGGAGCTGACTGTACATTCTCTCATGCTTCTTTTAATTTTCTGTGTAGCATATCTCAAGCACACAATGGGGAGGGGCCTGGTTATTGGCCAAAACTTTCCTTAGCAAATATCTGGCTGAGCAACCTATACAGTACCTCAAAACTGTCTGGTTCTCAAGAGTGTGTAAAGTTAGTTACTCCTCTCTGAGGATGTGTGTTGCAGTAGCTCTTAAAACTTATTGTTGCTCCCTAACTGGCTTTAGATACAGGTAATCAAATTGTGCAAGATAGTCATCAGGTTATGGATGCGAGATTCATCTTGAAATCTCATTTTATAACTTGAGCTTAGATCGGACTACAAGGATTCCTTCCCTCCTGTTTGGGAGTACTGAGGTTCATGCACAAAACAATGTAAAGAAACCAAGGCAAATGTGGGTTTGGCAGCACATTTGTTGGGCTTGTGGTAAAGACTGAGCCTTAAGTGGCAATTCTTGTACTGTATCAATGGTGCCAGTTTTAGCACTTCAGGTCTGGGTGGATGGATAAATAACTAACTTTGGCATTAGTCAGAGTCCACCTTAAACTTAGAAAATAATGTAATGCTATACTGTAGTTCCTAGTACTGCACTTGGTTATAAATGGGGATATAAAACCATCATTTTGACAACTACAGTACTACCTTACAAGTACATTACATTAGCTGACATTCCCAAGTGGAGATAGCCAGGTACTGAAAATACTTTTTACTACATTGTCATTTTATTTATTCAAATTACAAAATAACCTAAAGTTAATTTATGTAATGAGTTATAATGTACCCTGTTATTAAGCTTCTGTTTCAAGTACAATATAAAGTAAACACACATTTTATGAAAATTAAGACTACACTGTACAATTTAATCAAAATGAAAACTTACCTATATCATGAAAAACATCATCTTAAATCTTATAATTATAAAAGTCAACCTGTTTTCCTTTGATATTTGTGTAAGTTATATGTACAACTTTGCTCACTGAAGAGAAGATGCAGGTGTCAATGGACACCAAGACTAATAGTGCAGTTAGAACATGCAAGAGATTTCTAATTTATTTAGTTTAGCAAAGCCAAAATGGCAGTTATTAAAAACCAGATGTCCAAGCACTAACATAGGTTGGTAAGTACAATACATTCCTTATGGAGTGAGACTCATCATTACCTCATATTTACTGTACTGTGCAGTGTTAATAACCTAATATTTTAGAAATAATTTAAGAAAGGGACTCGCATGTCCCTTCAAGACATGAGGATACAGGCCATCCCAGGAACAACATGAGGACAACAATACACGGCGTGAAATACAAACTGTCTTCTACCCTCGTGTACAAACCAACAACAGCAACAACACCAAGAGGGATGGTGACAACTGTGGAGATTCTGAAACAAAATGATATTTACCTTATCAACCTGATAAAATGTACAGTACAGTATAAAAATACTGTACTTGGGTATCTCAACACTGCTTATGGGAATTGGTTTTGTATAAAATCTTGATATTGGTACAGGGGTATAGTATATTCCTTAACATAGCGATCTGGTTTCAAAGGTTTGAAATTTAAATACAATATGCACTGTACTGTATTTGATCATTGTAAGTTTTAGATTATATTTTTTATGCAGTATGCAGTCATGTTTAAACAGTTTTAACGAAGTAAACCACATTCCTGTACTTTCCAATTTCAAGACTGCTTTCTATTAAGACTATAATGTGGTGAAATTATTTCAAGGCTCATTAACTAACACAATTTCCTTGAATTTTTGGGTACTAAATTTGGATCTTTGATGAGCTTGTCCTAAAGTGAAATTTTGTCCAAATTAAAAGTTTGAAAAAGCAAGGTACAGGAATCCTTCACTTAACAAATGGGTTAGGTTCCTGAAAAAAAAAAAAAAAAAGATTTTTTTTAGTTTCTCGAATAATAAAACATATGGAAAATAGGGTTTAGTTCCCCCAATGACAAGATAACCCCAATACCATACCCCAAAAACATGAAATAGGTATTAATGGTTTATCTGAAGGTTCATAGTGGGCACCATCCTTCTCTTAAGTAATATAATTATACTGTACAATATTTATCCCCAACCAAACCCTAACTGTGTTTAAGGATCAGTTCAGAGGGTTCCAAAATTAGCCTGACACTGATTCCTGGGCCCCAAAACACATTATGTAAGTCTTCATTATACATACAGTACACATATATACTGTATGTTCAAAAAATAATATCCTTCCAACTTTCAATCACCGGGTAACCCCTTAAAGGCAAACCAACAATATAACAAAGGTGAGATTCTGAATGACTTCCCTTCCAGTTATACCCTGTCATCCTGCCCGCTGCGTGCTGAAGACTCGACCAACATAGTAATCCCGTGATGGTGGAGGACAATTCTACATTTTTTGTGGCTCCAGGAGAAAAATCCGGGAAAACCCGACCGATGGTGCAGGATGACAGTGTATGGGGAGAGCACCACTATCTTCTATAAAGGCATGATGCATGCAGTTTATAGTGGCAAGGCAGTATGCAAAACTTAAAGGAAATGTAGTTAATGGGTTAGGAAAGGCGAAAATATTTATTGGCAAGTCATTAGCACAGGTACCATAATTCTTTATTCTTCTTTTTTTTACTCTGGGTATTTAATCTGCATACTGAGATTCAGAAAAAATAAAATACCAAGAGTTTAAAATATTAAGCAGGGTTCATAATCTTCTAAACTCTCAAAATCCTATAACATATAATAAAAATTAATAGAATTCCACGATTCTTTTAGATCATGAATATGTTACTTACGTGCATGGCTGCCACCAAAGGTTGAGGGTCGTGGGGTGGGACTTTGTGCATTGTGAGCATTGGGCTGACCCACAGCTGCCGAGGGTCCCTGGCTCTTGTCTCTGGACCCACCGCCCAGACCCCCGAACCCTGCTGCGCTGAGGTTGAACTCTTTCTGGGCTGAGGCTGAAGAGGAGGCTGTGGCTGATGTCTGGGAGGGTCGCTGCGGGGTTGCAGGGTCTTTGTTCTGAGAGGGTGAGTTGAAGCCCGTTGTCCCTGCTGCCCCAGAGGGCGTGTCTTGGTTCACAGCTCCCCCCAGGGGAGTTTTGGTGACCATAGATGATGTGCTAATTCCACCGAAACTACTACTGCTGCCACTGAAACTACTACCGCTGCCACTGAAACTACTACCGCTGCCACTGAAACTACTACCGCTGCCACTGAAACTACTACTGCTTCCACTGAAACTACCACCGGCGCTGGAGCTACTGCCACTTCCAAAGCTACTACCGATATTGCTGGAACTACTGCCGCTATCACCAAAAGTGCTGCCGCTATCACCAAAAGTACTGCCGCCGAAATTACTGTCACCAACACCAAAACTACTGCCGCCGCTGCCGGTGTTGCTAGAGCTACCACCGCTGACGAAGCCATTGTCATTGTCGCCATGGTTAATTCCGCCACTGCTACTGAAACTACTGCCAGTGTTACTGCTGAAACTACTGCCGGTATTAGCGCCACTACTGCTACCACTGTTATCGCCGGTGCCCTGAAATTGGACGTTATGGCCATTGGCACCAGCATCTGAGGTGTGGGAGTTGAGGACGTTGCCAGTGAAGGGCCGCAGAAGAGGGATGCTCACTTCAGCGGGGCGGTTGGCACTGCCAGGAGGCGTGGCAGGCTTGGGGGACGTCCTGGCATTGATGGGCTGAAGCAGTGACCCTTGCCTATTGGTTGACACACCTGCAGGAACCAATACACCCAATTGTAACACCCATCACTGTACCATCACCTGAGATATACACCAAAATAGTTATCACACCCCCTTCACTGTATTACAACTTAATCCACAATAATGTACTGTCATCCCGTCCCTTCACCCTCACCATTCTTAATGAAACAGGATATGCTAATGTCTGATACAAGAGTAGATTTGTCCATTATGAATTTCAACGTCTAGGTATTACGTTAGGACATAATTCAACCCAATATAAACTAGTCTAACCTACCCATAGTTTATTCCAACCTTAATCTTGGCCTAACATAATCAAACATGAAAGCCTAAGATAATTCACCCTGACTACAACATAATTACTGTACTGTATTCTTAATCTAACTTAATAGAATTCTAATGTAATATAACATACAATACCATAATCTGATCTAATCAATATATCTTACCCTAATCTTACCTAATCACAGTTTATCGTGACCTAACATACTACAGTACTGGAAATGTAACCCAGTCTAGTAATTCACCACAAACTATACAGGACCAACATTGTGTTCTGGTAAGAATGTTGGTCACAAAGAAACTGCAACTGACGAGATTTTGTCCACTGGTAAATTGTCACTGACGAGATTTTGTTTGTGAAAAGTTGTAAATAAATAACAATAATAAATTTATAAATAATAATAATAATAATAATAATAATAATAATAATAATAATAATAATACAGCTAACGTAAATAAACAATATTGGTGACTAACAGTAGTACAGTACAAGTAACATTAAATTTTAAAAAATTAGTAATAAATCACACAAACATTTGGTATATACTGTACTAATTAGTGTGCTGTACTATATACAAGTACTCACCACCACTGACGACACAGCAGCCAAGAATAAAATTTTTGTTACAGAATGAAGAATCAGATACCAAGGACTCCCACAGCCCGACCACCACCTTAATAACTCTTTTGACTCAACTCTTCCATTCCTCACTAAAGTGCCATAAATGGTCAAATGTTTTCCTGTAAATAAGTGGGTACATGAGTAAACTGCAGCATTACATGTCAAGTCCAAGTGGACGTCGGACACCACAGGACAACCAGCGCCTTTGTCAATCACATACACACTACGGGACATCTGTCCGGGTGGGAAGGCATCCAAGTCTCTCACAAGTGTATGAACAAGAAGACCAGAAATGACCTGGAAGCAGCTTACATGTACATCGTGCTGCATCCGAGCATTAGCATCAAAGTAGGCTGGGTGACCTGGTTGCACACTGCGGCCCAGATGGCAGCATGCGATTAGCAGAGAAAACAATCAACAGTGAGACCTAATGATCAATGGGGAGACGTGATCTAAGCCCTGCCCACCACCGTAGTCCAAATTCTGTGTATAAATGTCAATACTCCATATTGTGTACTCATTCCTTTGAAAAAGTCTTGTGACGAAACATCAAGATTAAAGCTCCATCTCTTCGTCGTGTTTCCTTCACTACCACCGATATACGTATACAGTATTTAATGCCCCCCACACACACTACCAGTAACATAGAATTTTCTTCAAAGTTTTAATGTGTAAATATATACCGTACTGAGGCGTCACAACACTCGGTACATTTCTGTAAACAAGTGCCAACCTGATTCTATGTAAACCAAATCATACCAAATCTAACCTTACTAACGAAAGTAAATGAACATATTTACAATATTAACATTTAATATTCACAACTCTATCTAGTGAATTTAACCTTTACGCTTTCTGTTAAATTAATCATTAATCTAATGTATGTATTTGACCTTCAGTGAAAAATGGACAGTCTTGGAGCCTGAGATGGTGTTGCATCACTCACTGCAGGTACTGTACTTTAATCTTTCACTTAGATTAAACTATAACTTAAAGGTAAGATATGTTCATTAATCACAGTACTTCTTCGTCCAATTCTGTAATTAAGCATTAGTTTAATTTTGTTTTAAGTTTTCAACAGTAAATGTTCATTCATTCAGCTGGTGTAGGACACGTTATTCCGACACAGAGTAATAACAAATATAAACTTTGTAAGCTTATGGCAAGTTTAGAGGAAAGAACCTAAGTGATTCTTGTGTATTGAGCGGTATCAGAAAAAACAAGGAGCCGGAGACTAAAACTAATGTTAAGACAATCAGACAGATGGAGAACAATCATTAAGTGCACGGTGTTTACAGGTGAAGGTCAACACATTTTAATAAGTAAAAATACCAACACACGGGAGCACCTTGAGCACCATGTCATGACCTTTTTGAATACGATGACTGGTCACATTTTCTCTGAAGCAATGAGGTAAAACAGTCAAGAATACTTTTGGTATTTTAATGATTCAACCAGAAAGTGAACCATACAAAATAATTTGTTGTTAGCAGTGTAAAAAAAAATATTGTGAATATCAAATAACCATCATTACAAGACATTAAGCCACCTTGAAAATTAAAACCTGAACTAATGACTAAGAAACATGCGAGGGCAGAAAGGCACTGTATGACGCGCAATTAACTAGGGTTATAAATCATCGCCTAGAAACGAAACTAAAATAAACACCCACATTTAACAAACCGAAACCACAAAGAAACTTTTCTGGGGGAGACAACAAAATGGTTTACAGAGTGTGATATCCCTCTACCATGACACAAGGGACAGACTGATAGACAAACACACTCCAAAAGGAATGCGGACACCTGCCAAACATAACAAATAGTAAGTGATCGTATATCAGGGGTAACACCTAAAGGTTTGTATATGTTTATGTTCAAGGACTTAAAGTTAGCATGACAATAATTTCTAAAACCATATACAATATAAACATCTTTCTCTTAAAAAAACAAACAATCACCAACTCTGAACCCTGGTAAGACAATTTTAAACCCTAAAATTACCATCTAAGGGTAAAATATACCAAACCCCAATTAAAAAACAAACAAGATTTACATACGGAAGTTAATCAAGATCATGTGAATTCATGTTGAGTGTAAGTATCCCGTATATATATACCTGCCCTGGAACACACCTGTGATATTAACTACACGAAATATGGCCATTACCGGTCACCTACCCTCAAGTTACAAGTGTGACCTAAATACTCGAGACACCAGAAGGGGGGGAGAAGTGACGCTTACTAGGTCGAAGGCAGTGACCTGTAACAAGGGGGTGGGGGTGTCTTGTCCAGGTTAAATGCCTTGGAGGGTTGAACTTTTAACTATACTGTAATGCAATACAAGGTTATTGTAGAGCCCCAGAAGTAATACAAATTAGTCAAGAAAGTAACAAAGGAAACAGGGAAGTAGCAGAGGAGAAATAAAGAAGGAACAGAGTAAGAACAGAATAACCATGGAAGGAATATAGAAGGAACAGAATAAACAGGGAAGGAACAAAATAAACAGGAAAGGAACAAAATAAACAGGAAAGGAACAGAAGAAACAGGGAAGGAATATAGAAGAAACGGAAGGAACAGAAGGAACAAAATAAACGGAAGGAACAGAATAAACGGAAAGAACAGAATAAACAGGAAAAGAATATAGAAGAAACAGGGAAGGAACAGAAGAAACAGGGAAGGAATATAGAAGAAACAGGGAAGGAACAAAGAAACAGGGAAGGAATATAGAAGAAACGGAAGGAACAGAAGGAACAAAATAAACAGGGAAGAAACAGAATAAACGGAAAGAACAGAAGAAACAGGGAAGGAATATAGAAGAAACAGAAGAAACAGGGAAGGAACAGAATAAATAGGGAAGGAACAAAATAAACAGGGAAGGAACAGAAGAAACAGGGAGGGAATATAGAAGAAACAGGGAAGAAACAGAAGAAACAGAAGAAACAGGGAAGAAACAGAAGAAACAGAAGAAACAGGGAAGGAACAGAAGAAACAGAGAAAGAATAGAAAAAGAGAGACAACGCAGAAAAGAAACAAAACAGTGCGCAGGAAGTACCAAAGACAGTGTCAGGAAAGTACCAAGGTAAGTGTCAGGAAAATGTAAAGTAAATGAAAAAAATCACAATTATAACATAGGAAAGTACCAGGACAGTCATGGAAACACTGTATCGAGGAGAAAGTACCAAGGTAATAGGCGTCAGGGAAGTACAGTAATGGTTAAGTGTCACGGTGTGTTAAAGGGAGTGGGTATGTTATATGTGTAATGAGGAGCCCAGGTGTGTGTTACGTGTTCACCCAGCACTTGTCATGTTTGTTGTCCAGTGTACGTGTACCACTAACTCAACATCCCGCTCCCCTACACGCCAGGGTATCTATCTGTGCTACTCATGTAAAGATGATTTGGGGGGGGGGGGAGTTGAACTATTGACACACAAGTACAGAACGATGATATAAAATAAATATATTATCCATTATGGTATTTCTCGTCCATTTCGTAAAAATATAATAAATAAGAGGAAAACTTCAAAGAAAACGACATCGAAGGAGGAAGGGGAGGGTAAACTTTAAGATAGTATTGTCGTTGGTTGTCTGAAGGTTAAATTAAATACATGATTGCACCTATATTCACTTTACTTAACCTACCCCTGACTGACACTCACACAGGCTTTAGAGATGCATTCCCGGGCACTCAGCAGCGACATGCATGACACACACACGCAACACGCCCGGGCACTCAACAGTGGCCTAAACGACACTCATCGTCACGACTCATTACACCACCGTCATGACTGAGGTAACACACGTCACGAACCTCCACTTAACACCGTCTTATAATTACGACCAGGAAGAACACACACCATTACAACCATGATAACATACACACTACAAAAACCTGTGATAACCAAAGCACAAATCACTGCAAACTACAAATAAAACACCTGATAACCCTCTAAATAGATTACAAATAACCAGTTAAAGTAAAATCTCTGAAATTCCCCGTAAAAATAAGTATACCGTATGTTAGTATGGGGAACATATTACCTAAATTGAAATATATATATAAATCTAGAATGCCGTAAGAATAGTATGGTGAAAAGCCTGTAAGTCAA